AAAACTCCTTGGTGAATCAGACACTGAGGAAAATCAGAGCCCACACTTCAGTGTGTTGGGCAGGTTACGATGAGTACATGCACGTAATGATCCAGGCAAATATTGTAGGGAGACTAGCCCTGGCTCAGGCTAGCACAAAGCGTCCCAGGTGTGTTGGTAGCCGAGGTGGACGTGCCTGTCTCAGGTGTGCTATAAAATGCCGAATCTCTTGCTGTGTCTTGCTGCAGTTACTCCGGGTGGTTTGGACACTGAAGAACTGATGTACTCAGGTGTGGATCTGCTGAAGCTGGAGTCTGGGAAAGGGAAAGGTAAGAGTCTGAGCCAGCCTAGGGCTGGGGGCTATGACTCGGCGAGGTGATGGGGAGAGTTGGCTGGAAGGTGGCAACGATTAGATTCCTAGGCCCAGTGGCCGAGTGACATGATGCTGTGTGTATAGGGATGGTCATGAGTAAGCAATGGAGATGAAGGAAGGACCTTTGCTGTCTGGGCTATAGCGGTGTTTTGGTGCATCGCCACTCCCCTTAAACTACTGAGGCCCAAATGAGGGACACAGGGAAAATAGCACCATCAGCGAAACATAATGCTATCTCTTTCAAAGGGAATTAGTGCTTCGTCCCATGCAGGTCTGCAGCTCAGCATCCTGTAGTAAATCCAGTTGATCTGGGCTGGGGGATAGATGAGAGATATGGATATCCCAGAAGCTGGGAGGCAAAGGTCTTCACAGACCCGGGCCACCTATCCAATGGAATCAGGAGCAGCGAGGGAAAGTGCTGTTTGGATTTTTATTTTCTTGCTGTGGTGTGGGGGCTTAAGGCTGGCACCAGTGGCTGCATGCCCAGGTGTATGGATTCTGGATGGGAGTGAAATCTAGCCTTCACCTGTCATGTCACTTCACATGACTCATGTCAATCCAGCCGGAGAGGTGCTTTATATTGGCCTCACCCTGAAGGTGACTGGAGCCGAACAAAGAAATGACTGATCAGTGCTTCACTGAAACCCAGCCAGATGCAGTAAGTATCACTTCCTGGGTTCAGGTCTATCTAATTTCCTCCCTCTTTTCTCCCTCTCCCCCTAGACGTCACCAAGTAGAAGAGGACGCAGAGGCCTGGCACCTTCTGTCTCCGCCTCCAGTTTGCAGAGTTACCGCTCTTTTTCACTCATGCTTTAAAATTGCTTTCCTGAATTACAGCAGCAGCCGCTGAGAGCCTCTGTTCAGGCATTTATTATTGTTTATCGTCTTAGCAGGCGATCCAAATGAGTAGATTATAGATCCTGTCTGCCAAACCCAGTGCCTCTCCCTGTACCAAGATGTGCTGCAGCAAGCCAGCAGAATATTAGGACTTTTAGTGGAGAAAGGATGCAGTGGCCCCCTGAACTGCAATCAAAGGCAGCAAAGGATAAAGCTCTTAGTGCTTTCTTGGCTAATCAGAGCACGTTAGCCGTTGCATGGACAACCACAGGTGTCTGAATAGCGATGGGGCTGGTGCAGTACCACAGCTCCTGTTATATCAGCACTGTCCGGTGGGAAGAGGGGATCCGGGTCCAAAACACAGTCAATTTCAATTGAATTATCTCAGTGAATTGTTAGATACGCTGGACATGATCCTTCCCTCCCTTACAGTGGTGTAACTCCATTGACTTCAGTGGAGTTCCTTCTGATTTACACCAGTGTACGTGAGGAGAATCAGGCCCTATGTTTGCTTATAAATGGCTCTGAGGGTCTGGATGAGTTTGGTCAGCCACCGGTGCAGACTTGTCTGGTTGTTCCAAGAACCAAGTATTTGTGTGTGCAGGGCAGGGGTGTCCATAAGGTTCTGACTGCCACAGCCCTGAATGATAATGCTGGGGTATGTCTGTATCTCAGGTGCAACCTCCAAATTCACTGAACCTGCCAGCAACTCTTAAACATGTATTCAGTGCTGACGAGTAGCACAGGCCTTCTCTCCCCCATCCTAAAGGACCAAGCTGGGGTAGGCAGCACCCCACCCTATGAAGCACATGCTATTCCAAATTACATGGGCAGGAGCATTCAGCCACTGAAATACCCTGATTGCTTGAGCAATGCTTTGCGCTTCATCACAGAGTTAGAGCTCTTAGTTTGAGAACCTGGCTAGCAGTGGGTTCTGAAGCGCCTCTAGGGCCATGGGTCACCAAGAAGAGGCTGTAGGAAGACTTTGATATCACTCAAGCTAAAGAATGGGTCAGTGGCTTTTCCTTACACTGAACAGACATTAAATGCAGCAGCAATGAATTCTGATCTTAACCAAAGTAAGTGGGCTTCAGGGGGACATTAGCGTACTAGAGGAATGCAGGCTTCCTATATTTTTTAAACAGGCAAATGAGTTTATATGGCTGTATTTCCCCATCCGTTGCTTAACCCTGGTATTTGGTAGGATCTTTGTTGAACGGGTAACGTAATAGCTAATCTTGGAACTAGAATTGTGTGTTTTGAATGTGTTCTATTGTTACAGCATAACCAAACTCACAAGGCTGATGATTTCAAATAAACTTTTAATAATGACTGCCCCTAAAAAACTGCCTGGAAGCTATTTAACAAGCATTTCTCGGTCAGGCCATGGTCTTGCTAAAGTAGTTGGCAAATCAGATGTGATTCAAAATAAGTCTCTAGCAAGTGTATCTGTTCCACTGCTTATGTGGACTTGCCTGTTTGTATAGGTGGGTGTCTACCTCCTGTTCTCCACAGCCTAGCCCTCGTGACTATGTGCTCCTGCTCAGAGCATCACTCCTGCTCCTCCACAGCTGTGTGCAGGGTCCCGGCCTCCTGCCCATACTCACAGTCTATCCATGCTGTTTACTACCTAATCCGTCTGCTTGAGGCCCCTCCCCCCACTGCTAAACTTTCCATAGCACAGAGCAGCACCCATCAGGCCCTTTGATGGTACCCATTTCCACTGGTACCAGCTGACGGGTGCTTTCTCTGAAGTGCGGGCTGGAACATTTCCCATCCTTCAGGCACCAGCCAGCACAAAGAGTAGAGAAGGCCTTAGGGCCAGGAATGACTTATCGCCCCCTCTGGCCCAGGTGTGTGGAGAACCTTTTCCACTGGTCCAACTCAGTGTTCGATGCTTGCATCACGTCTCTATAGCCCCAGACTTCCTGCCTGGGCCTGTCGCTCCTTTTTCCTTTAGCTTTCAAAGGCACGGGGGATGTGTTTTGCAGCTGAAGTCAATGAATTTCAAATGCATGGTCCTGGGATTGATTGTTTTCACTCCACTTGGTAAAATGAGGCAGGGCTGGCAAGGGATGAGCAGGAGCTTGTGGAGGGGTGCTATTGGGCGGGGGAGAACTCCAGGGGCAAAGGGGCTGCTGAAGGCTGCCCAGTCCATGACTCCTATGCCAAAGGACGTGTCTGAGCTCAGTCTCTCAGAGCTTGGCCTGTTCCCCCATCAGCACAAAGGGTCTTGTTTCACATCGGAGACTGAGGAACAGCAGTGCCTCTTTGTCTCTCCCCACTGAGGTAAAATACCCAGGGCAGGCAGCTCTTTGTACCCTGCCCCATACTAGGGTCTGCCTGCCAGGGCAGCTGGAGGGACTCAACTGTATCCATTTCAGATTATGAATACCTGGAGTCTGCATGGCTGACACAGCTCTGTCCTTTTAAGGCAGACAAATTATGTTATTGATCAACTGCTCCCCTCGTTGTGTTGGTTATGCCTCTGAGGCTATGGTGCGGGCAGAGTTTGGGGCCTGCTGGAGAAAGCTAAGGAAGCAGGAGCACTGTGAAGTATGTTTTTATAGGGTGGTAGGCTCCCCAGTAGCAGCCTTCAGCCCCTAGAGTCAGCATTAGCTTGGATGAGCTCAGCTGAGGCAACGGGGCAGAGGAATTCTAGAGAACCTCCCCTGCAAGCTCTGATGCACATGTGGGCTGGGACCCTTTATGATTTGCATGTTCACCCACACAACTTAGTGCGTGAGCAGAGGCTGCTCCATTCCTGACCCAGTAGCTCACTCCTTACCTAGGGGGCCCACCTCCAGGCATGAGGAGGAGGATAGTCTCTGCTACCCCTGCCCCTAAGTGGAGGGTCCCATGAGCACCCCCTGGGGTGGTGGGTTCTATGACATGAATCTGGACTAAGGCACCCTACAGACCCATTTTGCACTGCCCCACCCCAGCCATCAGAGAACAGCAGCTTGTGGTCCCTGCCCATGGGTCTGCCTTTGAACCTTTCACCTCCAGCTCCTATCAAGTTGCCCCTGCCCCTGGGCTGTAGGTCAAGGGTCCAGTGCTCCTGCAATGCCTAGTCAGCAGGAGGGTCTCTAAACAACCATTCCTACCAGCCTAACAGAGCAGGGCACAGCTCACTCATCTCCTCCACCCATCCCCCTTGAGGTCTTGTCCTCGCAACAAGAGAGAGGTGTGTTCTTAACTCCCATTGACTAACTCTAGCTCAAAGCCCAGAGAAGACAAGGCAGTTTATAATCTTCAGACACATCAGCAGGGTGAGTTAAAGCTGGAAGAGCGGGATGGGGAGAGGAGGAAGAGCCTTGGCTTTACCTGGACATGCTAGCTTTTGCACGCTGGCATTGTAACGTGACATAAGCAAGCACCACTTTGTCCTAGCAAAGACAAGGCCGCAGTATCATTCAGCCAGACCCAAGGATCTGACCTGCAGCTACTTTTTAATTGCCCCTGCCCCCCTCCGGAGAGTCCAGACCGCCAGGGCCTCATATACTTTAAACTTTCAGTAAAGCAATCCTCAACTGCTATTTAATGAGCTGCCATATCCACCATACATTATGAAGGGCTTAAATGCACATAGAGTATCAGGGTTGGAAGGGACCTCAGGAGGTCACCTAGTCCACCCCCCTGCTCAAAGCAGGACTAATCCCCAATTTTTGGCCCAATCCCTAAGTATCTCCCTCAAGGATTGAACTCACAACCCTGGGTTTAGCAGGCCAATGCTCAAACCACTGAGCTATCCCTCCCCCATGTTCCTTTTAAAAGCATTGCCCTTCCTAGAGCCCAGTCAGGGACACACTTCCAATCAAAATCAATTTTATTTCTGTGTTCCAAAAAACAAAACCCCAAGAACGCAGCCTAGACCAACCGTGCCTTGTGCACGCTGCTGCTTGAATACAGCCTCTGACGGGACCGAGGAGGTAATACCCAGAGAACCTGGTTTTAAAGTTATATTATAAAGTGAACCCAAGAGCTGTTAGGTAGGTAGCAAAAAGACAGACCCCGTGCTCACAGAAAGATTGGAAGTTTCTCTTAAAAAATATAGCTCTGGAGAGACATTGCTGCACATCACTTCTAAGAGGGGACATGTCACACTGTAGGAGCCGGCTTCTTACTCCCTCTGTCCAAGGGGCTGCTCCGTTTGGTTACAGTGCAACGGCTGGGGGGGTGGGGGGGTTCCGGGAGAGCACTATATACTTAAGTCCATTCCCAGCCAGGTGGTGGATGAGGCAGCAAAGTACAATGCTTGGCTCTAAAAGTCACAGTTAAAAGAAGAAGTTATAAATTAAGATTTAGAAGTTTAAGTATTATCTTTTTCTTTAAAAAAAATAATCGAAGAGCGTTTTCATCCGCCTTCTGATGAGCTTTCTTCCACCCCTTCGTCATTCATTCATTGTCGGCCGTCCAAGGGAGTGCTCTATGGGGAAGAAAAGATTTTGTTATTTTTTCTCTAAGTCCATCCCACAGAGATGGAAAGGCCTATTACACGGCCACAAGGTGACCCGTTAACTCCCCTAAGCAAGGATCCCCCTTCGTAGAGGGGCAGTGCGATCTGCTCTTACATCTCCCCCGGCCTCAACTTCTTTGTAAAAGGCTTATTAATTCTAGTCCTGTCACTCACAAACCGTCAGGACAAATGAGCTTCCCTTGGGCTTGTAACCAAAAGCGAAAAGGGTCCTTGACTTGGAATTTTGGATGCCGGATTCTCGCTCCTAGGTCTTGGTGCCCTTGTGCTAGAGAAGTGGAGCTCCAAGCTCTGAATGCATTTTGGTCCCCAAGGCGGTAGGAGGAGGTTTGAGTGTGAGCCTTGCACCTCCATCCCCCCAGCACTGGCATTCGTGGGCCACCCTGTGAACCAGCCTCTCAGTTGAGCAGGAAGTAAAGACTCCTGGAGAAAGGTCAGGAAGAGAGAGATGGACAAATTCCCCCATGACGAGTAGCACCCTCACTTCTATTGTCCAAGTTCAAACATCCCTCAAGCTCCGAGAGGAGCAGGGGCAGAGTCCTATGCCGTTTGAATAGGGAAAGTGAGGCCAGCAGCGCAGGAGTTGCTGGCCACAAATAAAGGGCGCCAGCAGCACGCGCAGCTGGGGCCGCGAGGAAGCCGGAAAGCTGACTACAGCATTGCCAATGCTCGGGCGAGAGGCAATTCTGGCTGGCACTGGAGCCGGCCCAGGGCTGAGGAGAGAAGTGCCAGCCTGCTAGTGAATCCGAGCCCTTGGACTGGCTGGCTGTCCCACGTGCCTGCCTCCTGGGGCAGAATAACCAAATCAGAGCTGGTCAAGCTGGAGCCAAAGAGCCCAGCGGCTCAGGGTGACTCTGCCCCCTCCTCTCCTGGGAGCAGTGGGGCACCCGTGCTTCCCCTCTACTCTAGCACCTGGCCCAGGGGGGAGGAGATCAACAATCAGAGGAGACCCGCACCACCCACAATACATTGTCTCCAACAAACAAACCCCCCCACCCCACCCCACCCTGTGATTTTTGGCGTCTTGAGGTTGGCAGTGCTGGGACCAGAAAGGCAGTTCCTGCAGGGCGTGCTGCTGGTGACAATTAGGAACTGGCTGGAAGGTTCCGGGCCAGCCCGTAAGCTCAGGGGCTGGTGCAGAGCCAGCCAGCTGGGGAGACTTGATTATATCTCCTGGCACTACGGCTGCCCTTAGGGACCAAAACTGCCAGGGCTCGGGGAATTCCGGATCCTGCGCTGGGAGCAGAGGCCCAGACGCGAGTCCTGCACAGACAGATCCTCAGGAGAACTGACAGGGGCCCGGCGAGCTGTCCTGTCACTACTGCTTAACTCTGTGGATCCAGTTGTTCTCAGAGCCATGCTTCGTGGTGACCCACTCCTGCTGAACTCCGTGAAAACCGAACATGTACATCAGGAGAAAAAGGTCCCATCTCGCTCTCCTCCCATTGAAAGCTTGGGCAGGACTTCAAGGGGGAAAGACTGAGCCCTGCATGGTGCTTTTTCCACACAACTTCTTCCTATGCGCGGGTATGGGTCCACTCCCCCAGACAGACGGGTGTGCACCACCCCCACCAGGGCACGGAGGTCGCTTGTTAAAGGCCATGTTTTAAAACAGGCCGAGTCAGGTGCCACAGAACAGCTCCTCGCCACCCAAGAATACAGGTCTCAGGGTTTGGAGTTCAAAGAGCTAAGGACACGTCTCCATGGCCCACTTACCTTCTCACAAGGATCCCTCGAGCTCAGCATCTTTCTTCTAGGAAAAAATGGAAAGTAAAATCAGTAAAACCCCGTATGAACTGGACCCAGCAGAGCCGAGTCTACAGCCGGCGACAGTCGCTGGAGGCTTCCTTGCTCACTCCATAGAAATGGACATTTCCTCCTCACACACAGTTTCATCGGGTGGCTGAGATCAGCTTTCCAGTTGTCCAGAGGCTTTGCTCCTACTGCTACTCCTCTCTCCTGCCTCTTTTGCCCACCCTCTCCCCTTCACCCCCTGCAGTTTTTAGCCAAATGATTCATTTCTCTCTGCAAAGTGATTGCAGAGCCTGCTGGGAAGCGCAGCCAGGGCTTCCCCACTGTGATCTCTTTGCTGGGGAGAGGCGCGAGCCCCCTGGAGCAAAGCTCTCTTTACCGGCAGGAGCAGGGCGGCATGGAGCACTCCCTCCACACACAGCCAGGAACTCAGGCAGGAGTGAGTGAGTCTAAGCATTAGCACCGCAAGGGAAAACCCATTCCCTCCAGCAGTGCCAGCCACTGCCCCTCTCAGCACCCACCCGCCCCCACGCAGGTCAGAGGGCTCGTCTGACACGAAGACCAGGTCAGTCCATCCCTCTCTAACGCCACTGACACTGCCAAGCCTTGAAGGGGCCAGCTGTAGGGTGCAGCTCAGTCTGGCCATGCAACTAGACGCTGCTGCTGAGATGCTGGAGAAGGGAGCCACGGAGGCTGATCACTTTGTGCTCTGGGTACCTGCCCACAAGACAGAGGCCAGCCCTCTCCCACCCAGCTCCGGGGGGATGGAAGTGTTTACACACCCACCCACCTTTTTTTTCTTTTTTTTGTGGGTGGAAGCAGACCCGTCCGTGCTCGCCTCCCCTCCAGATGTGGCCTTCTTGCTTTTCTTCTTCTTCTTGTCTTTCGCGGCCTTCTTTTCTGGGAGAGACAAAAGGACCGGGGTGCATGTGAAAGGGGACTGGGTCAGACACTGCTGAGAGGCGGGGGGTGGGGGTGGGGAGGTGGTCTCTGCCTCGCCCAGCAAGCCTTTGGCTGTGCCCCTGCTAGCAGCTTCCCCACCCTTGCCTTGCATTGCTCCATCAGGCTAGCAACGGTGGCAGTGAATGCCCAGCCCTGCCGCTCAGGGCCCACCCGTGCCCGAGGGACATTTCGAGAGGGAAGCTGGAATGCCTTTGAGAGCACGCCCCGTTCTATCCCACGCTGCACAGAGCACATGCAGGCGTCTCTCGGGCTGGAGGCACTGACAGGGGCAGCGGCAGCTAGGGCCTGTGCTAACATTTCAGCCCGCTCACATGGACTGGGCACAACTCTGTGGTGACACGGCCCGGGGCACATTCCCACCGCAGCTGATACTGCGAAGCGAATTGGGGGTTCTCCAAGATGGGGCATGCGTGGGGGAGAGCCAGGCTGGGAGGTCACTCACTGGCACTGAATACACATACGATTAAGAAACAGAAGAGCAACATGAGCAAAAAAAACTGTTCTACGAGGTCTTAATTCTTGTAGGGCTGGAGCACCCCACAAAGCCCAGCCTGGGCAGCCTGTCCATCTCCCCCACACTGCGCTGCCAGGCCCCTCTCCCAGACGAGAAGTTTCGAACAGGATCTGCTGGGGTTTCGATCGTCCTCTCCCTTTTCTGTCCTTTATTCTCTTAGCAGGGGCTACCTGCAGGGCAGGGGCAGAAACTGCTCTTTTACTTGGAAGTGACAAAGTGCAGCCCAGCTCCATTCTCTCTCTCACCCCCTGAGCAGCGCGAATGGCACGGAGTCATTTTCGGGGATCGCTGTGGCTCACTGCCCCGCTGGAATGTACAGTAACAATACGCAGCCAGGCAGGCAGGGCCCGCTGTGAAGAGCGGGAGTGGCAGGCTGGTGCTGTGAAGACGACAGCTCAATGCAGAGCCTTTCAAACATGGGGTCACTGACAACACCCAGCTCATCAGCACTTCTGCCATGCACTCGGGGAGCTGGCGCTGATCACAACCCCAACCTCCATCCTGCCTGGCTGGGAACTTCACCCTCCGTTTCTCAGAACATGCCGCCTGTGGCCTTTGTCAGGCACCAGCTGGGAGCTGGCATTGCCAGCCAGCTTGGCTTCAGCCCTTTAGGGCCGGGCAGGCACTCAAAGCGCTGCAGGGTTTCACCAGTGGCCCCAGGAACAGCTCTGTACAGCTTGTAACTGGCAGCGGCTTGCCCCGTCCTCGTCGGCATGGCATGCACTAAGCCTGCCGACTGGGTCCTGCTGGCATTCAGAGTAGGGAAGGGAGGGGGCCCAGAGCGAAGGGCCGGGGCATAAGGGCATTTCTGGAGAAGGGGCGGAAGCAGACAAACTCCTCCCTCCAAGCATCGCTGCAACAGACTAGCAAGGGTAGCAGGACTGCTCTGCGGACAGATACGTGCCCGGTGCGTAAGCCAGGCAGGTGGGCAGGCCGCCGTCGGAAGCAGAGCGCGTCACTGCCCGCAGCCACCTTTTAACAGCAGAGTCGTTCTCTGACCCGGGGTAACATTTATTCAGTCACTTGCTTAACTAGTTCAGCTCAACCCTTGACTGGATTTGGGAGCGGCAGCGGAGCCCCAAGCTAACCCTTAGGAATCAGGCCTTGGGGTGCCATTTAGGGGGTCCTGCAGTGGAGACCAGCATTGGGGTGAGCAGGGGGCACTAGCCTGTCTACAGAGGAGCGGGGACAGTCGAACCGGGTGAGGGACAGCAGCAGGGCCCTTACTTTTACTGGCTTTCTTCTTCTTCTCCTTGCTGCCGGCTGGTCTCTCCCCTTTGCTTTTCTTCTTTTTGGGAGTCTCGAGGCTGCTTTTCAGCTTCTTTGGCTTGGGCTCCGCGGGGTCGCTGTCCCCTGCTGCCAGCTTCCTTTTCACAGAAGATTTCTGCTTCTTGTTCTCTTTGTCCCCATGTTTTGGTGCTTTCGCTGCTTTCAAAGCCTTGGCTGAGGCCGCAGGGGTTTTCTTCACTTTCTTCTGCTTCTTCTTCCCTCCCTCCAGCTCCCCCGGCGCTGGCCCTCCCGGAGCCTTGGCAGCAGTGGTAACCCCGTCTTCGCTGTCGCTCATCGAGCTCTCCCTCTCCGACTGAGCGATGGACAGTAGAGCATACGGGGACGGCGTCCCCGGAACGCCCGCCGGACCGCCAGCATTCTGAGTCACCAACAGGGCTTTCTTTGCCCGCGAAGCTTTGTAGCTGGCGCCTCCTTCTCCCGCTTTCCCTGCCGCCGTCTCTTTTGCGGCGACCCCTTCGGCCCCAGAAGAGGACGACTTGCTCTCTGTGGACACAATTTAAAGAAGAGGATTTAGGGAAGAGATTTGGTTATGACCCAACCCACTCGAGGGAGGCTGGTGTTTAAGAGACGCCTTCAGTCCCCGCCCCCAGACACGGTAATTTGTAGGTAATTGTGTCATATAGAAATAGACACTAATCTCCCCAGAAACATAATGGTGTATTGTTACAGGGCTCTGTGAGGGGGTGTGGGGGAAGTGCATTAACTCAGAGTACAAAAGCCAGGTTTGGGCTACAAATTAAAGAGTCCAAAGGGCTCATAAGAACGTAAGAATGGCCGAACTGTGTCAGACCAGATGCTTCAGAGGGAATGAACAGAACAGGGCATTCTGGTCCCCAATGTGTGCCCTAAAAAAAACCCCAAACAAAAAACCAAACAATTTGAGAATTTTAAGTCTCTACTCAAGAGAGGCCCAGATTAAGAGCACTGGCTGGATCTGCAGGTGTACAGACACGGCTGTACGTGGGCAACTTGCTCTACGACGGTCTCAAGACAATGCTCTTACATCCCTCGACTTTGAGAGTAGATTCTAGATTACAGTGATCCCTTGCAGACATCTTGTCTGACTTCCTGATCATCACAGACCACAACACAGCTGTGTAGGGAGGATACCGACGAAACCCAACAGATCTTTCAGTCTTGGATTTCTACTATTCACTTACAACCATTCAATGGCGGTGGGGAGAAAGGTTTTTAACCACACAAAAATGAGGGGGGTATGGAACGGCTGCCATATGTGGAGGAGAGATTAACAAGGCTGGGACTTTTCAGCTTGGAAAAGAGATGACTAAGGGGGGATATGATAGAGGTTGATAAAATCATGACTGGTGCGGAGAAAGTAAATATGGAAGTGTTATTTACTCCTTCTCATAACACAAAAAATAGGGGTCACCAAATGAAATGAATAGGCAGCAGGTTTAAAACAAACAAAAGGAAGTATGTTTGCACACAACTCAGTCAGTCAGCCTGTGGAACTCCTTGCCAGAGGATGTTGTGAAGGCCAAGACTAACAGGGTTCAAAAAAAGAACTAGATAAGTTCATGGAGGATAGGTCCATCAATGACTATTAGCCAGGATGGGCAGGGATGGCGTCCCTAGCCTCTGTTTGCCAGAAGCTGGGAATGAGTCACAGGGAATGGATCACTTGATTCCCTGTTCTGTTCATTCCCTCTGGGGCACCTGGCTCTGGCCAGTGTTGGAAGACAGGATACTGGGCTAGACGGACCTTTGGTCTGACCCAGTATGTTCATACATTCTGTTTCAATCATCCACCAAATAGCTCTGTTCCCTTGTGTTTCCCTGTGGCTGGCTCTTCCCCAAACAAACATTTCTGAATGACACGTAACAGAGAAAGCTCCATGGAAGATGTAGCAGGTGAGTATTTTGTTGGTAGCATTTGATAAAGTGATTCTTAAATCGGCATTTATCAAGTTTTGAGACATTTTCCAATCAAAAATGGTTCCCAGGAGAAGTGTAACATATATTTGAAGACAAACACCTCGCCAGTTATCAGGTTAGAGAGCTCGCATTGCTCGCTGGTCTTTGACTTTAGAAAGAATTTTGGCAACTATCACTAGAAATGTTAGTTAAACTTCGGGATTCAGAATAGCCTTGCACATGGGAGCACCCTGTAAGCTGTATAACTGAGCAGGTGTATGCTTCCCAAAACTTCCCAACCACCCCCTCCCGAAAGGATGCAGAAGCCCACGACAAATTGCAATGTTGCTGGAGGTGTCCAGCAGGGGGCAGCAGCAGACTGTCACAGTAAAGGACACTGTGGACTTGTGATTCGCACTCTTCACCTGGACTCAGATTTCAGAGACGGAGAAGACCTAATAGATCATCTACTTCAGCCCCTGCCAATGCAGATTTGTCCCCTCAGCATATATTCTCCAAGCTCATCTGAAAGTCCCAGCTGATGGGGTTTCCACCACTTCCCTTGGAAGATTACTCCATGGTCTAGGGTGTCCGGAGCCCAGATATAGCGCACATTTAGGAGCCAGCTCTAAAGCTGCTCGGGTTTGCAAGCTAGACCATGGCCCTAGGACTAACCTGCCTTCTGTTTGGCTGCCGTCCCCTCAGCATCCGTGTCGGAGTCACTGATGTCACTCTCCGTGGCGTCAGGCAGGCCTGCTTTCCCAGGTTTGGCGAGGGTGCTGGCAACGGCGGCTGCTTTTCCACACCCCGGTTTGCGGGAGGTCAGGGAAGCAGGTTTTTGCCCTTGGGGTGCTGCTGGAGCCTTAGGAAGGCCTAGATAACCTGTGAGAAGGGACTGAAGAGCACACGTACGCTGAGCGAGACGCACCGTCACCGGGGCTGGACCCTCTTGCCTTCACCCAGGGCATTTTAACTGCCACCCGCAACTGCCCCTTGAGCAGCCCTCCAGGTTGGCAGGCTCCCCTCAGCTGCCCTTCGTGATCTGGGGCCACTGGAAAGCGGAGAGACAGAAGCAAAGTGCACCTACCAACACACGACACAGGGAGACCAGGGGTTTGTAGGGAGCCCACTGAACTTGGGCTCTATCCCACTGCTCCATTATTAGCCTCTCTCCTGCCCCACACCCCGAGCCATGGAGGTGGGTACAGGAGTGTGCTGGGGGTACCCCAGTGCTGGGCAGCTGGGTGGCGGGGAGTGGCACAGCTGGGGTTGCTCACGGAACGAAACCCAAACAGGGAGGTTATGTATATGGCTGCTTGACGAGTTTATGACATATGTCGTAATCCACTGTATATTTGCTCCTTTGCTCTCTCCTGGTAAAACGTGCCTGGGGAGGTTTTTGACCATCGGTGCATTCCTACGCTTGCATGCAAAGCTGATGCATTACAGATGTACTGCGCTCCCTAGATATTACTAATAAAGGGGGTTTACTGGCTTAGACATGGGTTTAGTTACAAATACACGTTGCTGCTACGGGCACGGATAGTCTCCCTTGTTTGGCTATTTCAGTGCTGCAGGGCACCAGGCTTCCAGTACGTGCCATTTTATTCGACGGCCATGTCAGTACAGCACCAGGCAAGGGCAGAGCCGCGCTGCGATCTGTCCATCAGTGTGCAGGAGGGTCCCGAACACCCGAGTTCAAAGTCTTCTCCCCTCTCCCTCTCCATGGGAGGCACCTGAAGCCCAGCACCCTTCAACCGCCCCACCCAGCTGCCGGAGCGGGTGCAACTTTAGGACTCCAGGGCGGCAGCAGCGGTTTACCCCGGTGCTGACTCTGGCCCGGTGTCTGCTCATCTTACAGAGCAGAGGAGAAAGGCAACAGCCCTAGCCCGCAGGGTACAGGACCCCTCACCTGCGAAGGCTGCTCTTCTTCCTCGCTGGACTCCGAGGAGGTGCTGTCGGCCTCCTTCGTCGCTCCCTGCTTCTGGGGCGCCTCTGCTGGAGAAGCAAAGTGCCCAGTGAAATCCTCCCACTGGTCCAGCCCAGCGCGCGCCCGAGAGCTCTCTCTGGGCGTCGCTCCCGGATACAGGCTGCAGCGGGGCTCCCCAGAGACATGTGCTGCAGAGAGCGTCCACTCCTCTACAAGGAGCCTGCTGCTTCTTGTCACTCACAGCCTCGTGGGTTAGCGAGACCCATCCCGCCAGCTAAGCCAGGCCCAGTGCACAGCGAACCCTCGTTCTCCATGCTGCTTGCTGGGCCGGCTGCCCCCAACCACTACTGGAAGTCCCCCAGAACAGCTTCTCTTACCAGGCTTCAGGGGCTGCTTGGCCTTGTCCTCCTCCTCCTCGCTGTCGGAGGAACTGCTGCTGTCCGGGCTCTCCCGGCCTTTGCTGGGTGCGGGGGGCACCGCCTGGCTCTGGGTGGCCCTGCCTGCAGCGTGAAGTCCTGCTTTTCCTGCGGCTGCGACGGGACCTTTGCCCTTGGCAGAAGGGCTCAGCAATGCAGGGGCATTTGCTTGCGCACCCTTCCCTGCGAGGGCAGCAGCTTTACCTGAGGCAGCCCCATGCTTCAGGCAGGAAGGAGGAAGGGGCTGAGGGCAGGGAGAAGAAAACAAGGAACATTTTAGACAAACTGGGGGTAGGGGATTCATAATTTCCCTGAGCTTTCCAGAGCATCCAGCGTACCCCGAAGGCTGGGAGCTCTCATGGTGAGGGCCTAGATGATCAGGGGGATGGGGGGGGGGGGAAATCTCTTTCACGCAGCTCATGGGCAAGTCACTTCACCTCCGTGACTCAGTTTCCCCATGGGCACAATGAGGAAAATGCCACCTGCCTCACCGGTGGTGCTGAGGAAGCTACGATACCTGAGGCAATCTGTAAAAGGAGTGAAGATCCTCAAATCGAAGGTGCTACCAAACCTCAGAGTCTCCTCAGTATCAGAGGGAGGAGAAAGCCCTCAGGGACACAGCTCGTGCCCGCTGCTCTGGCTACCCCTCAGTCTGTGGCTGGGGGCAGCAGCAGCTCAAATCAAAGACAGATGGAGAGGGAAAGAGATGGTCTGGTCACTCCAGATCTTTAGTGTAAAGAGGTGCAGGGGAAGCTACAAGACAGCACTGACGTGAGCCCGGAGCCATTATCTGGGAGGCGGCCAGCAAGACAGGCCTGCGGGGAACTGCTGAGAGCTGAAAAGGAAGTTTTCAGCAGGGCGCTCTTACCAGGAAAGAGCCAGTTTGAGGGGGAGAACTGCAGCCTTCTCAGTCAAGGTGACAGGGATTTCTTTCCCCCCTTGCATTGGGGTAACTGTGCTTACCGTGGCTCTAAGAGTCGCACTGCAAGCCCCAGCCAGCCTCTGGAGGACACTCCGCCAGTCCAGGCCCACAGGCTCCACCAGATCTCCTTGCAGCGCTGCATGTGGCTCTGCCCACCCAGCATTTCTTTCTTACCTGGCTTACCGGCTTCTCTTCCTCCTCGCTGTCCGAGGAATCGGAGCTCGAGCTCTCGGGCGCTTGGCCAACTGCGGCAGCAGCTGGCTTCACAGGGCTGCTGGCCACTCTGTTGGCCCCTTTCCCAGTGGGCAGCATGGGCCCGGCTGTGCCCAGAGGCTTTGCGGCTGGGGCAGGTTTAGGTTTCACCTGGGCCAGTTGCTAGGCCAGACAAGAAAGGAGGAATGTCAAGACAGCATGGTGACTTTTAAAGAAATACAGCAACAGAGTTGAGGAGCCTGGAAGTCCAGGGAATTAGACCCCATTTTGCAGGAGGACAATGCATAGCCAAGTAAGCCTTTGTGCTCAGATCCCAGGCTGATGGGGACATACCGAGATAGAGAACAGGACACCAGCCCCCTGGGAAATGTGCTCTCCCTCTCTTTTCATACACCCCACGTGGTTTACAATGATGATTAACAAGAATGTGTAGCATTTCATCACAGCCCAGGCCTATCACTTCCCCACATGGGAGGCAGTGGCCACCGGGGGTTGACGGGACAGCCCTGGAAGGAACACCATGCTCCGGGGAGGTCGACTATTGGCAGAAGCAAGTGAATACAAAGAGAGGAGGGCAGGGGAAGCGATCAGTCTCCTGGTGTCAGTTACAAGCCAGGCTACGTGTGCAGCCTCCCGCACCCAGCAGACACCCAAGCTTCTACGTGCCAGGGCTCCGTGGGATCTCGCAGGTTTCTCGGATAGGACATCTGGTGCGAGATGCCATCCAGGGGGTTGTGGATCCAAGGTGTCTTTAAACATTTTCGGCTGTGATTTAAAAGCTCAAAAATCACAGTGACTGCTTTTACGTACCTCTAAAATATCAACCCTCTTAATAAAGGAGCCCTTGTGCCAGCCTGCCAGCTGGGGAGCACACAGCTTTCTGGTCATCCACAACACAGGGGCATCCTGTTTCTATCCCCGAATCCCAACAACAGGGCCAACTAGGCTGGCGCTTTGCATGGCACGGATGCTTCTGGGAACGGGATGGAGAGCACCTAGCCCCTCTCCCAGAGGCCAGCCAGCAGGTACCAACGATTTCAAACACCTGGGAGCAGAGCTGGAGCCAGGCAGCTGGAGCTGAAAGGCTGTGGGGCACATCTGGAGCACTGCGCAGTTCAGGGGGCACCGCTGGGAGCGGAGAACCATGCCCCGGCCCACTAGAAGTTAGAAAAGCCACTGAGGCTGCTCTTATTTATGGCAGCTTCTCCGGGGGCACGTGGGCCACCCTGCAGCACTGAACAGCTGGAGTCCAGAGGATTCTGGTCAGTACATCCCTGCCGGGCTTGAGGGGGCAAGGGTGGGGAGAAGAGGAGACAGGGGGTTATGCTGGTGCTACAGGGCTTGGGGACCCCTCCTGGGCTGGGGCAATTCTCCACTGTGGGGGGATCCAGCTGTTTTCCAGCTTGTTTATTCTACAGGAGCGGCACAAAAAGAGGCCCAAATTATGGGAAGGAATGGGCCTGTATGATTATCGCTGTCACAAGACAGCCAATCCCTCCATTGCTTCTAACCTCCGAACGCTAGCCAGGCCCCATTGGTTGCAAAGGTCCCTGTGCCAGCTGTCTGGGATCCCCAGCACTGACAGACATTTCCCAGAGCTGGGTTTCCTGAAGAGCAAGGGCTCCAGATAGAGTTTCGCTAGTCACCATTCCTCGAAACCCCAGCTCTCAAAGAGGCCAACTCAGCAGAGCTTCCTCCTCTTTGCCTGACAGCCGCGTGGTCTGTTTGCTAGTTACCTGCGGGGGTACCTGATCCTCCTCAGAGTCTGACTCCTCACTGGACTCCTCGCTGCTATCTGCTGCCCCTGGTGCTTTTGGAAGAGATGCTGGAAGGGCCTGGGCCTTCTTGACGCTAGTCAGCTGTCCTGCAGCAGCGGTCTTCATTGCTGAAAGAGGTCAGAGAGAAACCAAGGGTAAGACTGCAGGCTGTTTATAGGAAGACAATGGCTGGAGAGACGAGGGAGGTTGCCGATGCTTCAGTGTTCCGATTTTAGCCTGGGAGAGAAAACCCTGCTGGAAGGGGAGAGCTGCTAGAAGACAATGATTTCCTTTCCTAACACCTCCTTCTCCGCAAGATTTCTCTTGCTGCCCCCAGGCCCTGGCTTTCTCTTCAGTACGACTGAAGGGGCCCAACAGGGCATGGTGCGAGGGGTGGCAGAGGGATGGAACAGTTGGGAACGCCACGACCATGCCAGAATAACTGAGCTCTGGAGCTGGAGAACCCTTCCCTCCCGCCTTTGTGCAAACAGACAACCACCACCAGAAGCCGGCAGGAATCAGTAGTGGAAAATGTTAGCAACTGACAGCTGAACAATGCCCTGTGCAAAGCCTGCTGGAGGCTTCTGTTTATTTCCTAGGGGGCTGCTGTCTTCCATATCCCACAAACCCTCCCACCCTGACAGCTGGGGAGAACGTCAGCTACTTTGGCTACTAATAAAGCTGACTGGGAGGGTTTCTGCCTGTTTCCTGGCAGCAGTTACACCAACAAGCAATAGAGGCCAGCCGGCCTATTGCCTGGTGCTTCCACTAGCCCCAGAACACAAACCAAGGGGGTGTCGGAGGTCTGGACAGCCGTGCAAGGGCAGATCTGTGTATGCTCAGGCTATTCCTCTGCGCTATGGGTAGGCTCCACTTCTCTCAGCACTCAACCCCACGTGTACTGCTAACAAAAGCTCTCCACACCTCCCGCGGGCACAGGCCGAGTCCCGTTTTACCAGCTCCCTGCAACAAAGGACTTGACATTAGCTCAAGCTCTCCCTGCAGGAAGGTCCTGCAATAGCCATCTACAGGTGCAAGACTTCTTTGTAATGAAATCGTTCCCTCCGGCATCCTCCTGCATCCAGGCATCAACTGCTGAGATGCCAGAAATAACTTCTGGTTGCTCATGTCACGAAACCCAGCAACAGAGACGAACCAGCCTGGAGCATGCGTTATCTGGGCCTCTGCATTGCAAACAGGGACATTGCTGTGCAAAGACCACAGTCACCTGGTGACCACTGAAGGTTCATGTCCATGGAAGGGAGGAGATGGGTCAACTGAAAACAGCAAGAGTCAACTCGGACAGTCATCAAGCCCCTCCATTTACTGGGTTCCCATGGGTTGTCCCAGTGCTGCCCCAGCACGCCACTGGCCACACCCCGAGTTTCCTTTGCAGGTCTAATGACAGTGGCCCTGCATCTTCCTGGGGGACTTAGACCTTGCGCTCTCTGGGCCTTGTAGCTGCAGAGACGCCGGAAGACTCTGGAGACGGGGGCAGCAGCAGGGAAGCAGGAGAAGATATGTATTCTGCCTGGGAGGCTCCTCTGCATTTTCGGTGATCTTCCTCTATCCCCACTTCAGACATAACCATGTCCTCGTGAGACTCCATGTTGTAGCCAGCCCCGGCCCACTCCAGGACAGCTGCCAGGACTCCCTTCCTACCCCTTCATCAACCAGAGTGGTGCAAGACTTCCTCGCCTGATCCAGGAGGAATGGGGATGACAAAACTCCCCCAGGCCACACAGGAGGGGAGAAGTGTGGCTTCATTCATTACTAGTAATTTCTTATAGTAATTCATTCATTACTAGTAATTTCTTCCATCCACGAATCTCAAAGTGCTTATTAATTATTACGCCAAGGCTCCTCCCTCCATCTGCATACACTGGGGAGTATGTTAGCAGCTGACCCATGCTGGCAATGCTGGAAGGAATAGAAAACAGAACAAAATAACCCCCCGTACCCCCAAAAAACCCAACTCTTGTGCCAGTTTGGAAGGACACTCTAGAAGAGAGACAGGAGGGAGTTGCACAGACAGGTCTTGCTAACATCAGCTTCAAAGCGACTGGCAAAGTCTGCATCCCCTGGCAGTTCAGAGCATGCCTGGTGATGGCTCTTAGGGGGCAGCCCCGTCTAGAACACACTAGCTGCTCAAGCCGAGAAGAGAAGCAAACCCCGTGAGTATGGAGGAGAGAGGCCCTGAATACCAAGGGAAGGCTAGAATCTTACCAGCGTTAGAAGGCGGTTTCTGTGCTGCCTCGTCCTCCTCACTATCTGATGACGTGCTGCTCTCGCTCTCAGAGTCCTTGCCCTTCAAGGCACCTCCAGCTGCTTTCCCGGGGCTCCCAGCTTTACCCACCAGGCTGGGCTTGATGCCAGGGGAAGGCTGAGGAGTTGGTAATCTCTTTAAAAAACAAACAAAAAACCAACAACACTGAGCCAGGGTTTGTTTCCTACACCCCATATGCTGCTGTGATAATTTAAAATGCTCCCTTTATCCCCAAAGAACATCACAAGTTTGGAGATGGATCATGTCCGAAACCAATGAAATGCGGCTACCTCTCTTGGGTGGGAGGCAGCAGCTGTTTGCAGCAGAGAGAAACACCACGCAGCAGTTCAGGCAAGAAGTATACTGTATCCAACTGGAAGAGCGCAGGGAAAAACTTGAGGGGAGGCCATATTTCGCTAGAAATTAATCAGGCCACCAGGGTTAAAACCCCTACTCTTTCAAAAAGGACCAAGGGATCTTTAATGACCAGGGGTTCAGCACCTCATTATCATGTCTCATCTGACAACTGTACCAACTGCACGGCACTATCAATAGGCCAAAACAGGGCAGCTTGACTTGGAAGGGAGAAGGCCACCTACAGAAAACCCCCACTGCCTACAGGGGCTAGATGTCCCTTGGAGACTGCTCCCTTGAACACTGACTGTCGGACCCTGGGGGCTTGTGACACTTTGAGGGACCCGAGCACAAGAGTCCACCATCACAGCAGCTGCCTCCTGGACACAGCATTAGAGAGGTGTTTAAGGGAGACAGTGTCGCACCGTTCCTAGGAAGCACTTTGTCCAGAACGTGAGCAATTCATTTGCCCATGAGCCTAAATAAGCAGCTGTGCAACTCGAACATGGCACTTGGGTTGTACAGCAGCTGGCTGTGTTTGGATTTCTGTGACTCAAGGCAGCGTGTGAGCCGCGTCTCAGGGTCTTGTGCAGCTGATGAGTTGATGCAAAGAGGTACCAGTTATTCTGGAACGTGAAAAAATTATTCCAGGCAGGTCTGATCTTCTGCCTCCTATGCGGCCCAGAGAGCTTCCATGCTCCTCTCACCCTTTGGCTGCTTGCAGAGGGTGTGCTAAAGAGAGGAAGTCCCACTTGCAGGAAGTTCGGGAGACTGCCCCACCCTCTGGGGCTCTTCAGGGCCGGTGAGGCTCTGCACCCGCTCAGGCACGCAAACACGGCCTGATCTTCACATGCTGGGCTGAACGCTCAAGCACCAGTTTGCTCTGGCAGCGCAAGAGCATAACTATGGCCATGCTGGGCCAGCCAATGGTCCACCTGGCCCAGGATCTTGTCTCCCCACAGTGGCCGGTGCCAGATGCTTCGGAGGGAATGAACAGAACAGGGCACTTGTTGAGTGATCCATCCTGTGGTCCAGTCCCAGCTCCTGGCAGTTGGATGTTCAGGGACACTCCGTTTGCCAGGCACAGTAGGAGCAGAGAGCCACCCAACCTGCCTGTGACCCACTTTTGGGGCGGTGTCCCATGGCCTGGGAGCCATCACCAGAGCTCTTCTCAGGGAAAACGGAGCATGACACTATCCCCTCCCCCAGCATTCATTCCCTTTACTCCGCGTGCCGGACTTAGTACACGGGCTCTCCCTCAATACCAGTGAAGAGCTAGAACATCACAGTCGTTCTGACAGCCTGAAGGGGTGGCTGCTCCTTGCCAATGGCCAAGAGCCCCAGGTTTGCAGCTTCGTGAGATGGAAGACTGTCAAACCTGGCTTTCTGGCACGGCCCTGGGGCAGCGTTTACTGCATTTAAACCAGCTGCTGAACAGACGTCAGTATTGGAGTGTTTACCCATTACAGAAGGGGCTCTCCAAACAAGCCAGGCATATCCAGGCTCTGCACATAGACACTGAAACCTCCACAAGGACGAGAGAGGAAAACAAACTGGAGTCTCTGTTTTGTTTTGGTTAACATGAGTCACTAACTCCTAGAGAAGGGCCAGCTTCTAAATGGCAAATCGAGAGCGTTATTGGAAGCGGATGTAGGGATTTAAATGAATCCCCTACTTGGGAACACACCAGACTCCTCCCTACTCAGACACCAGCACTTGCGGGATATTGGATCTAGTCTAAGTCATTTGCCTCCAACTTCCTAGTGACAGGACAGACTCTCGCTCACGTTCAGAAAGCGAGCCCATGTATAACAAGGACGTATTAGGGAACAGCTCAAAGACCTGGAAGACAATCAGATAGCAGCATCTGGACACTATAAGATTATTTCCCTAAAACGGCCGTGGTATCATTTCTACGGGGCTGCCACGTCCTAGTGACTGAGCCCAGGCAGGGCTTGGCTGAACTACGCCTGGCTGTAAAACGCTCCCAGGTGAGCTGTGCAGAACACGATCCAGGCCAGCGTGTTTTATGGACCCAGGAGACTGGAAGAAGCCTAAAGTAAAGGGGTGGAGGAGCAGTCTGCCATACTAGAGATGCTGGTACCTGGGAGAAATTCATGAGTAACTACAGATTGAGCTTCTTGTCCTCTCCTCCCTCGCTTCCTTTCTCTCTCTCTCTGCTGGCCTACAAATAGCTCCTGGCCCAGCGGTGGGAGCATGCCAGAGTTGAATCACCCCTCTACCCCCATGCTCTTTAGTTTATTTGCATAATGCAGTGAGTCAGAAAGCAAGCATGCTCCCCAGAAGCTGTATCAGTCACACGCCAAATCTCGCCTACCGGCATGCACAGGAAGCACCCCCAGCATACCAACAACGAGCTCAATAACTGGGATGTGCCACGACATAAAGGAATAAAGACTGCCGCTCCAAGGTATGAGCTTAGGACGCAGTCATGCTTCATCTCCCCAAAGGACCTAGTGGACTATCGCCTCAGCACTGAGTCCAGATAAAAGCTCACAGCCAAATTTTCCGTCACGTCCATTAATACTACATGGCTCCATTTCTGGGTGCCGACAGGAGACGTAGACTCGCTGCACGTCTAAAGTGAGGCACCGGCACATCAGTGTGCCCATATGACATTTTTGGACTTATTGCACAGGTGGGTTTGGAAAGTCTGAAAGAAGCAGGAGCCTGCAGTTTCTTCAAGGTCAATCTTGTTTGCTTCCCCATTGCACCGGGAAAAAACACATACACCAAAACACCACCTTTGCAAACAAATGTCTTTGACTAAATAATCCTAAAATCTTCAGCGGTAAACATACTAAATAAGCAGTTTGATGTAGAAATGATGTTCATTTTAATTGTGCTAATCCGCCCCTGCAGTGAAAGATGAAGCAGCTTGCAATTCTCTGTACCTGTCTGGATCTCGCTTAGAAGCGATCGGAAGCTGCAGGATACAGTAAGTCAGTGGTTAAATATAGGCCCAAGTACTTCATGTTCTCCATCTGCCCAGAGACGTTCCACTGGGAGAGCTGGATTGTGGACACAAAAGGGCAGAATGGCTGAACACCTACTTCCATTCCAAGTCCTTGGCTGCTGGCATCATGAAAGCCAGCCCATTTTGGTTACAGCCTTTCTCGGCAGCAGCGACTGGTACATGGGAATCCCAAATTTGCAAACAGTGGCAGAAGGAGATATGAAATCCTTTAAATCGCCCTTCACTAAGAGAGACAGCTACTTCTGCCTGGGATCTGTCCAAGAGGAGAAACTCGGAGTGCGGCATTAGGGGGGCTGTGTTGGTGAGTGTCTGTTGCGGGGACAGTTTGTCAGTTTGACCTTGTGCTTGATTGTTTGAAAAGTGTGAATTGGGAGTGCTTTGTTCCAGGTGAGCCTTGAGTGGGCCTGACTGTTCTAAAAAGCCAGTCAGCTGCAAACCAGCGGAGCGGCATATAATGGAGAGGCTAACAGAGGGAGTTGGCCTCGGAGTTCGCCTGGGGAGAGCCCACTGAGGCTTTCATCTTGCAGGCTTCTCCAAGTAGTTACTACAGCACCTGATGAAGCTCTTAGAAGGAAGGTCATATGGATGGTGAGTGTTCAGCTGTTGTTACTGGCACAGGATGTGCCATGTTTGTCATCTTTCTTCCACAGGACAGAAGCGACTTTGTCTGTACAAAGTGCAATCTGGTCTCCATATTGGAAGAGAAGGTTCAAGGTCTGGAGGAACAAGTATCGACCCTGCGTTGCATAAGAAAAACTGAAGATTTCCTGGGCAGACATCAGGATATGCTTCTACGGACACAATGTTCTGAAGATTCAGAGCAGACTGAGCAGTGGGGACAGAAGGACGGTGAAGAAATTTGGCAGCATGTGACCTCCAGAAGAAGAAAGGGGAGTGTCCATGTACCAGCAATGCAGATACAGGTAAGGAACTGTTTTCATGTTCTCTCCACAGGTACTAATGCAGAGAGCGGACTAGATGATACATCTGAGGGAAGGGAGCAGAAGGAGACTCTGCCGATTGGAAGGCATGAGATGCCCTGTCCTAGGGATGTGGTTCCACGACCACCGCTCCCAAGAGAAGGAGGCAGGTGGTGGTGGTGGTCCGGGACTGTCTCCTCAGGGGGACTGAGTCATCTATTTGCCGTCCTGACCGGGAAAACCGAGAAGTCTGCTGCTTACCAGGAGCTAGGATTCACGATGTGACGGACAGACTGTGGAGACTCATCAAGCCCTTGGATCACTACCCCTTTCTGCTTCTCCATGTAGGCACCAATGATACTGCCAAGAATGACCCTGAATGGATCACTCAGACTCCATGGCTCTGGGAAGAAGGATAGAGGAGTTTGAGGCGCAAGTGGGGTTCTCGTCCATCCTCCCTGTAGAAAGAAAAGGCCTGGGTAGAGACTGTCGAATCGTGGAAGTCAATGAATGGCTACGCAGGTGGTGCTGGAGAGAAGGCTTTGGATTCTTTGACCATGAGATAGTGTTCCAAAAAGGAGGAGTGCTAGGCAGAGACGGGCTCTACCTAACAAAGAGAGGGAAGAGCGTCTTCGCAAGCAGGCTGGCTAACCTAGTGAGGAGTGCTTTAAACTAGGTTCACTGGGGGAAGGAGACTGCCCTGAGGTAAGTGGGGAAGTGGGATACCGGGAGGAAGCATGAGCAGAAGAGTGCAAGAGGCGAGGGCTCCGGCCTCATACTGAGAAAGCGGGATGATCAGCGAGTTATCTTAAGTGCCTATACACAAATGCAAGAAGCCTGGGAAACAAGCAGGGAGAACTGGAAGTCCTGGCACAGTCAAGGAATTATGATGTGATTGGAATAACAGACTTGGTGGGATAACTCACATGACTGGAGTACTGTCATGGATGGATATAAACTGTTCAGGAAGGACAGGCAGGGCAGAAAAGGTGGGGGAGTTGCACTGTATGTAAGGGAGCAGTATGACTGCTCAGAGCTCTGGTATGAAACTGCAGAAAAACCTGAGAGTCTCTGGATTAAGTTTAGAACATGGGCGACGTCGTGGTGGGAGCCTGCTATAGACCACTGGACCAGGGGGATGAGGCTTTCTTCCGGCAACTAACAGAAGTTACCAGATCGCAGGCCCTGGTTCTCATGGGAGACTTAAATCACCCTAATATCTGCTGGGAGAGCAATACAGCGGTGCACAGACAATCCAAGAAGTTTTTGGAAAGCACAGGGGACAATTTCCTGGTGCAAGTGCTGGAGGAACCAGCTGGGGCAGAGCTCTTCTTGACCTGCTGCTCACAAACCAGGAAGAATTAGTAGGGGAAGCAAAAGTGGATGGGAACCTGGGAGGCAGTGACCATGAGATGGTCGAGTTCAGGATCCTGACACAAGGAAGAAAGGAGAACAGCAGAATTCGGACCCTGGACTTCAGAAAAGCAGACTTTGACAACCTCAGGGAACTGATGGACAGGACCCCCTGGGAGAATAACATGAGGGGGAAGGAGTCCAGGAGAGCTGGCTGTATTTTAAAGAATCCTTATTGAGGTTACAGGGACAAACCATCCCAATGTGTAGAAAGAATAGTAAATATGGCAGGCAACCAGCTTGGCTTAATAGTGAAATCCTTGCTGATCTTAAACACAAAAAAGAAGCTTACAAGAAGTGGAAGATTGGACAAATGACCAGGGAGAAGTATAAAAATATTGCTCAGGCATGCAAGAGTGAAATCAGGAAGGCCAAATCACACCTGGAGTTGCAGCTAGCAAGGGATGTTAAAACAAGAAGGGTTTCTTCAGGTATGTTAGCAACAAGAAGAAAGTCAAGGAAAGTGTGGGCCCCTTCCTGAATGAGGGAGGCAACCTAGTGACAGAGGATGTGGAAAAAAGCTCATGTACTCAATGGCTTTTTTTGCCTCTGTCTTCACGAACAAGGTCAGCTCCCAGACTACTGCACTGGGCAGCACAGCATGGGGAGGAGGTGACCAGCCCTCTGTGGAGAAAGAATTGGTTCGGGACTATTTAGAAAAGCTGGACGAGCACAAGTCCATGGGACTGGATGCGCTGCATTCAAGAGTGCTAAAGGAGTTGGCGGATGTGATTGCAGAGCCATTGGCCATTATCTTTGAAAACTCATGGCGACCAGGGGAGGTCCCGGACGACTGGAAAAAGGCTAATGTAGTGCCCATCTTTAAAAAAAAAAAGGGAAGGAGGAGGATCCGGGGAACTACAGGCCAGTCAGCCTCACCTCAGTTCCTGGAAAAATCATGGAGCAGGTCCTCAAGGAATCAATTCTGAAGCACTTAGAGGAGAGGAAAGTGATCAGGAACAGTCAGCATGGATTCACCAAGGGCAAGTCATGCCTGACTAATCTAATTGCCTTCTATGACGAGATAACTGGCTCTGTGGATGAAGGGAAAGCAGTGGACGTGTTGTTTCTTGACTTTAGCAAAGCTTTTGACACGGTCTCCCACAGTATTCTTGCCAGCAAGTTAAAGAAGTATGGGCTGGATGAATGGACTATCACAGTGGTCCCCAATGCAGTGCCCGCAGGCACCATGGCACCCGCAGGGGCATTTATGTGCGCCTGCCTACTGACATGGGAGCGCTTCTGCTGGACAACCCGCTGCCGAGGAGCGCGGCCGCCGGACAACCAGCCGCTGAAATGCCACCCAGAAGCAGCGTCATCGAGAAGCATCGCCGCTGAAATGCCGCTGCTTCTCAGCGGCATTTCAGCGGCGACACTTCTCAGCGGCATTTAGGCAGCAACGCTTCTCGATGACGCTGCTTCTCGGCGGCATTTGGGCAGCTGGGCCCGCCACACTCTTCTGGGAAGATGAATATGCTATTGCAACAGAAAGGTTGGGGACCACTGGACTATAAGGTGGATAGAAAGCTGGCTAGATCGTCAGGCTCAATGGCTAGTGATTAATGGCTCCATGTCCAGTTGGCAGCTGGTATCAAGTGGAGTGCCCCAAGGATCGGTCTTGTTCAGTATCTTCATAAATGATCTGGAGGACGGTGTGGACTGCACCCTCAGCAAGTTTCCAGATGACACTAAACTGGGAGGAGAGGTAGATACCCTGGAGGGTAGGGATAGGATACAGAGGGCCCTAGACAAATTAGAGGATTGTGCCAAAAGAAATCTGATGGGGTTCAACGAGGACAAGTGCAGAGTCCTGCACTTTAGGACGGAAGAATTACATGCACGGCTACAGACTAGGGACCGAATGGCTCAGCAGCAGTTCGGCAGAAAAGGACCTAGGGGTGACAGTGGACGAGAAGCTGGATATGAGTCAACAGTGTGCCCTTGTTGCCAAGAAGGCTAACGGCATTTTGGGCTGTATAAGTAGGGGCATTTCCAGCAGATTGAGGGACGTGATCGTTCCCCTCTATTCAACATTGGTGAGGCCTCATCTGAAGTACTGTGTCCAGTTTTGGGCCCCACACTACAAGAAGGATGTGAAAAAATTGGAAAGCATCCAGAGGAGGGCAACAAAAATGATTAGGGGACTGGAACACATGACGTATGAGAAGAGGCTGAGGGAACTGGGATTGTTTAGTCTGCAGAGGAGAAGAATGAGGGGGGATTTGATAGCTGCTTTCAACTACCTGAAAGGGGGTTCCAAAGAGGATGGATCTAGACTGTTCTCAGTGGTAGCAGATGATTGAACAAGGAGTAATGGTCTCAAGTTGCAGCGGGGGAGGTTTACGTTGGATATTAGGAAAAACTTTTTCACTAGGAGGGTGGTGAAGCACTGGAATGCGTTACCTAGGCAGGTGGTGGAATCTCCTTCCTTTGAGGTTTTTAAGGTCAGGCTTGACAACGCCCTGGATGGGATGATTTAGTTGGGGATTGGTCCTGCTTTGAGCAGGGGATTGGACTAGATGACCTCCTGAGGTCCCTTCCAACCCTGATATTCTATGATTCTGCCTCAAGTAGAGTATTCTCCTCAACTAAAGACATTGTGGGGAAAATGCATTCTTCACCTATTACTATTGCTAGAAGGGCCAAGTCTCACTGGTATTGCACAAATTCATGATGCAGCATAAATTGCCTCTTTCCCCGACAACACCCCTCATTCTGAACCAGCATTAGGATTTGAATCACAGTGTAGAAATGCTGAGAGACAGACAGACTGGGATAGCGCCAAACACTCAGAGAAGTTCCCTGAGCCAGCAGACCAGGACAATCCAATGTAAAAGCCAACATGCAGAGCTCATCGGACTCCCACTCCTCCACACCAAATGGGCACAGAGAGAGAGAGAAAACTCTTGGAGACACAGGGGGAACTAGGTCACAATCTTGCACACACCATCAGACTATGCCTTGCTGGGGTGCCATCTTCAGGAAGACTGAGCGAGCACTTGGGGCCACCATTGATAAGGATGCGCCCTACCAGTAATGACTCCCACGGGCAGTGCTCTCTGCCAGATTAATCATGAGCAACTGAGAAGTGCCAATCCACTCTGTGTGGATTCCTGCCTTGCTAAACACTCAGCCTGACCCCGATCCCACTGGAAGCAATGGAAGTTTTGCCATCAGCTTCAGTGGGAGCTGGTTCCGGCCCATGCAAGCGTGAGCAGACTTTCTGTGCACACAGAAAGCAAGCCCAGGCTGCTTGTGGCCCCATACGTATTCATTCTGGGACCTATGTCTCGAGTTCCAGTCAAAAGGAAGCAAGAGGGGAAGGCTCCGACCAGCTACTATTCATATGACAGAGCAGCGTCATTGTTTGGATGCAGGCAAATGAACTGTTTCACTCTGGAGTTCTCCATGTACAGTTTTTGCTGGTTTGGCTCCTCACACTGCTGAAGAATGGGAGATGTTTTAAGCCAAGTGATACTATGCTACGGGCGCCTCCCCCCGGCCTTGGCTTGTATTTTATTGTAGCGTTTGCAATGACTTCTGTTTGATCTTATTGGCAGAAGCCAGTTCTTTGGCAAAGCCAAACAAGTTCTACAAAGGAGCCAGAGAATTTAGTAACTATAAACTAGTCACTTGGAAACAGCTGGCCTTTAAAAGATGCATTAAAGCAGAGGGCCATCAAATCAGAAAACAATTCATAGTAGTTCTACAAAGCAAAGATGGAGGAAGGTGAAGGGATACCTTGCACAGGGCTGCAATTTCATGCATCAGAAAGATTTAGCATCCTAAGCATAGCAGTACGAACAGCCAGACACTAACACAGCCATCACCAGCATTTCAGAACCCAACTGGAGGCAATAATTACAAACCTTCTGGCTTATCGGCACTGGGGGTGCCTCATCCTCGCTGCTCGATGAGTCGCTGCTCTCCGAGCTCTCTTCTGGCTTTGCACTCCCAGCAGCCTTTGCAGCGGTTCTGGTTGTTCCAGGCCCCACGTTGGCCTGGCTGGGCACAGCTGGTTTTGAGGGCTGCTTCCGTGGAGCTGGAGTCGAGGCTTTTGCTGGAGCTGTCTTGGAGGATGGAGGAGCAGCTGAGGTACTTTTCACTCGTGTCGCTGTGGCCTGGGGAGCTTTTGCAGATGAGTTGGTCTAGAGCCAAGAGACAAGACCAGAATAAACACAACAGGAATCCCTGACTCGGGGTGGGGAGATGCGTCTTCCCACGATAAAATATAAGGGATCAAGTTGTAAATCTGGGAAGCGACTGCAAAAAGTGGTAAGGCTGAAAATGCCAAGAGAGGATGGGGGACTAGTGTGGCGAGCCAGGCGTCCCTCGTCAGTCCTCCTGGCCACTGGAAGAAATCTCCTAGAGTGAGGGAGCAATGACTGAAATTCCTCAAAAATCTGCTGTGTAACTGGTCACAGCGGCAAACAAACAAACAGTGGGGGGAGAAAAGGCTGCCTACTGCACAAGAACATGAACGGCTCTGTTTAACATGCACCATGGCACAGGAACCAATGGTGAAAAGGACCAAGCCTCCCCTGCCCAGACACAAAAGCAGCAGAAATCAGGTAGCGCTAGAGTTTGCAGATATTGCAGATCCAACACTCAGCTGTGAATTGCCATCTTTCCATGGATCAGATATAGAACTTGGAAGGGTTAGAGAGGAATTTTCCTTTCTTGGGTGGAGAATGCCTGTGTTGGATTTTGGTTAAAAGCACTCGTGCAACTTTTGTCTGTTGAAATCAGCACACTTCATTTTCAACTGGTCGCTTGAAGTTTACAGTGGAAACAACCTGGGACCATTAACTACCCTGTTGCAAGTGCCACCTTGCTGTGCACGGTGCCCCTTTTACAAGGTTCCCATTCATAGTATCCCCAGGCCTCGGGACAGGTGTGAGGGATGATAGGCTCAAACTGACCCACCTGTGCTGCTGACGTGGCTTCCTCATCATCACTGTCCGACGAGTCGCTGCTCTCAGAGGTGTCCTCTGCCTTTGCACTCCCAGCAGCCTTTGCAGGAGCGGTCATCTTTGCAGCTCCGGGTTTGCTCTGGGTTGGCGTATCTACTGTTGGCATCCATGGAGCTGGGTCAGACACTTTCCCTGGGGTCCTCTTGGTGGGTGCTGGAGTGGCTGGCGTGCTTTTCACTGGTGTTGCGTTGACCTGCGCTGCTTTCACAGCTGGTTTTGTCTGGAGACGAGAGAAAAGACTCACTAAGGAGGGGTATGGAACATCTGTGCAGGAGTGGGGGTGGGAGGAAGCCGAAAGGCAGTCAGGGGGCGAGGTTAGCCCAGGGCACAGGCCTTGATCAGGGGGTGGGATTAGCTACAAACGAGGGTCCCCCACTCTACAGCTATACCACAATTCAGTGCAAGGCCCCTGGGTCGGGCAGCAACTGGTGACTCTGTGGTAGGTTAGTTTACGCTAGAGATGGCGGTTTGGGGACTTTCGTTTCACCAGCACAAAAGGCTGCGTCAGTCATTTTACACTCTCTGGGTTCTCAGTATCCCACATGTCTGCATCGAGTGCATCCTACAGGTCAGAGCGGCTCAGGGTTTGCTCCTCCCTCTGCTCTAACCCTCTAGTGAGGGAGCGGGACCCAGACTTTCCCTCCGGAGCTGACAGAGGCTGGGAGGTGCTGTTGGGTGGGGTGGGGATAGGTCTGTTTCCTCAGTGCCCTGGCTTCAGAGAAAACTGTTCCTAGTCCCTGCCCCACTATCAGTCTGGGGAAGGGCCTTAACAACACACAGCCCTGGGAGGTTAGAGGATGTGTATGGGTGGTGGTGGTGGGGAATGCTCAAAGCACTCAGTGGACCCTCTTGGAGGTAGATACCTGGAGCGCTGGGGTTTTTAATTCCTCTTCAGAGGAAGTCTCATCGCTCGAGTCCTCACAGCTACTCTCTGCCTTTCCCACCGTTTGCTTCAGTGCTGAAACACCAGAGAGGAGACGTCACTCACACTGCGCTCTCTTGTCGAGTCCATGCAGAGAGCTATATTCATGCAGCTTTTAGGTTATGGGAACCAGTCAGAAGGCACAGGGGAGAGGCTACAGTCATGTCGCATGGGGGCAGAGCCCAGTGACACTGCTAAAATCTTAGGAACCTACTGAGCATGTCAAAAAATTTTTCCGATCACATATTGAAGATTAACCCCCCCCACCCATTTAGGAGACCCTCCCTCAAAGAGGACAGTCATCCCAAGTCCCCGCTCCTGGAGTAAGTGCAGTGTGGACACTTACACACACACACCCTCATTGCCGGATCAAGTCCCAAGCTTGGAGCATTTCTTTTCTGGGGATTTTCCCCTCAAAACATCAATAACAATTCACTTCTGGCTTGAGACCAAACATGGAAAGTTTCAGTGACTTTTTCAGAGCGCTCAGAATAAAGCAGCGTTCTGGTATCATCCAGTGGCCTGGACATGTCGGCGCTCCATTGTACTGGGCACTGAACGAGACCTTAACTATAGCATTTGCTCCCCCAGACTCTAGATCCCATCCATTTCTCTGTATCGCAGATCCAAGCAATATGGCCCTGAATGCAGCCTGATCTGGTTGTGACTGGCAGTGCTTGTGTTGCTCCTGCTTCTGCCAGGTTTCTTTAGTCTCTACAGGGAGCAGTTTTGGTCTGATGATTATCTGCCAGGAGAGCTGAAGCCACGAGGCCTGCAGCATTAGTAGGAAAGTAATTCAGACCTGATATACTGCAAAGCCAGAACAGAGATGTACGTCTCACGACCAGCACAACAGCTGTGCAATGCTTTAGGAAATGCATCCCAAGCCCATGGGCTTCTCACCTGACTTGGGAGTTGGGAGCTTTGCTGCTGGCATCTTCTCCCCTTCTTCACTCTCTGACGAATCGCTGCTTTCAGAGCTCTCTGCTGCCTTTGCAGTAGCTGCTGCTTTGCTTTGCCCAACTTTGGCCTGAGTTGCTGCAGCAGGTCCTGGCTTACCAGCACTGGCTTTCTTCTGCCCAGCTTGGGCCGGAGCTGAAGAAGTAGCTGGAGCACCAGGCGTGAGCTTATTTGAGATGCCTTTGCTCTTTCCTGCTCTGGTCTGAACTACAGCAGCAGCCCCAGGCTTACCTGAAGTGGCATTGGCTTTGTTTTGGGCAGCATGCTGCAGAGAGTTAGCAGCTTTGCTACCCGCCGCAGTAGTTCTCACCTGGAGGAATCAACAAAAGAAAGTCAGTTCCAGGACAGCCTTTTGTCCTCTTCATGGAATCGTGAATGCTCTGAACTAGATTTTAGGAACCACCGCCCAGAAAATGCCAAAACGTATCGAGTCGTTAATGCGCTCTGACACGGAGGCTAAAGTCTTTGCATTTAAACAGAGGAACTCGGAGACATGTTCATCCACGGAGCTCCACCAGGGAGCTCAAGGGACTCACACCCGCAATGTAGCTGGCCTTCAGAGGGCACTTCTCCAGGACACCAGCAACCCACGCAGAGTTTTGCTGTGGTTACTGCCCCAATCAGGCAGAAGAGGTTTGGATGAGGCTTTTGTGTTTTGTTCCCCTGAAGTGAGCACCTAATTAACTGGCGCATGGAGTAAAGAGGGAGTTCAGTGCTCCTCTAACCTCCCTCTCTCTCTCTCATTAGTGCCACATCTAAACAACGCTCAAGTCTCTTAACTCTTCAAAGTGAATGAAAAGCACTTTCCATGAGAACAGGTTCAACCTCCACAGTCGATTTCCCCTTTACAAAGCCGTATGCACAGCTCCCTCAGGCCTGTCTATAGCAGAAGAGGGCTGTCAGTACAACCATACTGGCAAACCCTCGCAGAGCTGAAGCACTCGTCAGTATAGCTTATATGGGCTCCCCAGATGAAATAAACTGGAGCATCAAAAGCTCTTTTTTGCTGTCCTAACTAGGGTCTGTGACAAACACCACGCCCTCCCCCCAAGCAGGCATTGCTAGAACTTTCTAATGCAGTCCTAGCCGCAGGCCACTAGCAGCCTTGGGGGGCGGCCCGGAGACAAGCGTCACCTTACCTCCTTTATTTGCTTTCCAGCCGCTGCCTCCTCTTCTGAAGAGGAGCCTTCGTCCCCCCGGCTCTCTGCCTGCACCGTGGAGTTAGTCACAACAGGGGCGCCAGCTGCCACACAGAAGGGAAAGCCACAATATGCAGAGACTCAAAACACAAGACTAGCTTCCCCTCAACTGGAGACAAAGGCAGTACTAGCTACAGACCCCTGGCGCTGCAGAAGTTGGTTCTGCACATTACCATGGTGTCGGAGGAAAGACCTTGTTGCTCCATGAAGAGTTCTCTTCCCCTACCTCTCACCCCTCCTCTCTACGAGCAAAGAGTCAAGTTCTCTTTAGTTGAGAGAAATCCCTGGCTGTTTGTGGCGGACATGGAGCAGAGATAGAATAACGATATGGACACAGCAGGAACTGCTGTGTATTAATCTATGAATATCGAGATGTAATGATGGTATTATTAGAGAGGCCTTGTGTGGACTAGGAAAAACATGCTCTCCCCTCACCCAAATCAAGTTAGCTTAACTTGACTGAAAACACCACTGAACATCAACGCAGATGCAATTTAACCCACTTAGGCTGAGCTCTAGGGGCTCTCCCATAATATTTACCTTAGTGAGTTTAGCATGTGCTAGAGTTTGATGGATTTTTCTTGGCTAGAGTTTTAGAAGGCAGTAATTAGACTGAGCTTGGTAACTCCATCTAGCATCCCACCTTTAAACATTAGGCTAGAGGAACAATGAGGAGTCCTTGTGACACCTTAGAGACTAACAAATTTATTTGGGCATAAGCTTTCGTGGGCTAGAACCCACTTCATCAGATGCATGGAGTGGAAAATACAGTAGCAGGTATATATTAGACATGCGCACACACACCGTACATGAAAAGATGGGAGTTGCCTTACCAAGTGGGGGGTCAGTCTAATGAGACAATTCAATTAACACTAGGATACCAAGGGAGGAAAAAAAATCACTTTTGTAGTGGTAATGAGGTGGCCCCATTTCAAACAGTTGACAAGAAGGTGAGAATAACAGTACGGGGAAATTAGTATGGTAAAATCAGTTTTTGTAATGATCCATCCACTCCCAGTCTTTATTCAGGCCTAATTTGATGGAGTCCAATTTGCAAATTAATTCCAGTTCTGCAGTTTCTCATTGGAGTCTGTTTTTGAAGTTTTTTTGTTGAAGAATTGCCACTTTGAAGTCTGTTATTGAGTGACCAGGGAGGTTGAAGTGTTCTCCTGCTAGTTTTTGAATGTTGACAGGTTTCAGAGGAACAGCCGTGTTAGTCTGTATTCGCAAAAAGAAAAGGAGTACTTGTGGCACCTTAGAGACTAACCAATTTATTTGAGCATGAGCTTTCGTGAGCCACAGCTCACTTCAGCTGTGGCTCACGAAAGCTCATGCTCAAATAAATTGGTTAGTCTCTAAGGTGCCACAAGTACTCCTTTTTTTTTTTTTTTTGAATGTTGTAATTCCTGATGTCAGATTTCTGTCCATTTATTCTTTTGCACAGAGACTGTCTGGTTTGGCCAATGTACATGGCAGAGGGGCACTGCTGGCACATGATGGCATATACCACATTGGTAGATGTGCAGGTGAATGAGCTCCTGATGGTGTGGCTGATGTGGTTAGGTCCTATGATGGTGTCCCTTGAATAGATATGCGGACAGAGTTGGCACCAGGATTTGTTGCAGGGTTTGGTTCCTGTGTTAGTGTTTTTGTTGTGTGGTGTGTAGTTGCTGGTGAGTATTTGCTTCAGGTTGGGGAGCTGTCTGTAAGCGAGGACTGGCCTGTCTCCCAAGGTCTGTGAGAGTGAGGGATCGTCCTTCAGGATAGGTTGTAGATCCTTGCTGATGCGCTGGAGAGGTTTTAGTTGGGGGCTGTAGGTGACAGCTAGTGGCGTTCTGTTACTTTCTTTGTTGGGCCTGTCCTGTAGTAGGCGACTTCTGGGTACCCTTTTGGCTCTGTCAATCTGTTTCTTAACTTCACCAGGTGGGTATTGTAGTTTTAAGAATGCTTAATAGAGATCCTGTAGGTGTTTGACCACTATGGTTACCTACATGTCTTCAGCTTTCATCCAGACCACATCACACGATCCATTGTCTACAGCCAAGCTCTAAGATACAACCGCATTTGCTCCAATTCCTCAGACAGAAACAAACACCTACAGGATCTCTACTAAGCATTCTTAAAACTACAGTACCCACCTGCTGAAGTTAAGAAACAGACTCACAGAGCCAGAAGGGTACCTAGAAGTCACCTTCTACAAGAAAGGCCCAAAAGTGATTTTTCCTCCCTTGGTATTTACTGTTAATTGAATTGTCTTGTTAGACTGACCCCCCACTTGGTAAGGCAACTCCCATCTTTTCACATGCTGTCTGTCTGTCTGTCTCTCTGTGTGTGTATACATATATATACACACACACCTGCTACTGTATTTTCCACTCCATGCATCTGATGAAGTGGGTTCTAGCCCATGAAAGCTTATGCCCAAATAAATTTGTTAGTCTCTAAGGTGCCACAAGGATTCCTCGTTGTTTTTGCTGATACAGACTAACAGGCTACCGGGAACAGCCTGCCAGAGAGGCAGTGGAAGAGCTCACCTCCTCCACCAGACCTGGCTGAAATCACATGGGTAAGCTTTTAAAAAAAAAAAAAAAAAAAGCATTCCCCCTGGGCTGACCTATGGCAAGTCCTCCTAAGAGCCTGCTGCTTGTGCATGCAGCCAATCCTGAGTTCTCGGTTAGTCTGCCCCAGACTCCTCGCTGGTGAACGGGGCTCAAATGGGAAACCGCCGCTCCTCCCAGCAGCTGCACTCAACTGCAGAGATAGGGAAATTGAGGCACAGAGGTAAAAATGACTTCCTCACGGTCACCTAGCAGCATGGGCGGTGGGTATAATAGGCCAGGGGAGGTTCTGCCTCCCCCAGCGCTGCCGCGGCCCCTGGGTGTGGGGTTTGGCAGCAAAGTTTTTGCTTTATGATGTCCTTTGCAGGTTCCTGCACAGGTTGGGTCTGGGGAGGGGAGGCACTGCGTGGCTTCGGCCATCCCAGGGCTTCTCCGGGCGGGCCTTGGGGCTTCGGCTGGCCCAGGGCTTCTGCAGCCGGGGGGGCACCTCTCTGGGCAGGGGGCTTGTGGCTCCAGCCACTGGGGCGGAATGCGACACAGGGGGTCTTGGGGCTCTGGCCATGGGGAGGGCACGGAAGGAAGGGGTGGAGTCAGGGGCTAGCCTCCCCAGAGAGGCGGCTCCACCCACTGCCCATGTCCAGCAGGCCAGTGGAAGAACTGGGTTTAGAACCCAGATCTTCTGAGTCCCAATCTGTGGCTCTAACCACTAGGCCACACTATAACAAGCTCCGCTAGAACAGCAGTGAGCCACATATTATTAAGCTATCGGAGCATCAGCTGCACCTGTTGCCTGCTAGCCCTCTCTGTTGTCCGATCCACGTGGGCCGTTCTTGGCTCTTACCCTTCCCAGCTTTTGTTTCCTCTTCCGAACTTTCAGAGCTGCTCTGCGGATCAGGCACCCTGATCTTCTTTGCTGGAATGCCTGCCCCCAAGTTGCTTGTCTTTCGTTTCTTGGTGTTTGAAGGAGTTCTGTAGGAGAGATTTTTCAAGAACAGGGAGGTGGTGTTAAAAAGGGAAATGGCATTAAATAGCAGAAACACTTATCAATTCACCCAGCCTTCTTCCCCCAGGGTCAGCATAGGAACTGCCATTCCTCCGCAGTAACCTCAGGTGCCTGACTCTGGAGCGACTTAGGTTGATCTGAAGAGAATTCCCCATAATCCTTCTTAGCCAAACCCTGGATGTGACACTTCTCAGGAACATGAAGAGGAGAGATGGCTAGAAATGAATTCCATCTGTATAGGGCAGGGCCAGTAGCCAGAGTCAGGAAAATTAGACTCAAGTATTTGGAAAAATGCTGTTCTTGCTCCGACAGTCAAATGATTAAACGCTTATCTAGCGCTTTTCCTCAGAGCATCTCAACGTGCTTTACCAAGGTGGTCAGTATCATTACCCAGATTTTACCAATGGGGAAACTGAGGCAAGGAGCAGGCAAGCTGCTTGCGCAAGGTCACCCAGCAGGCCAATGGCAGAGCTAGGAATAAAACCCTGAACTCCTGAGCCCCAGTCCAGTGCTCTATTTAATGTATAGTCAGCCTCACGTTACAACTCAGCACTGGCTAGACTTGTTTTATATGGCTTGGTCCTACTGGACAAGCTCCAAACAGGTATATGGAGGCTAATGGATTGTGATGCAAAACTGACCCATGACCTAGAGGCTACACATCCATTCAGACTTGGATGGTCACACCTAGGGGACACAAAATTATGATATGAACTGGATTTATGGGTGAAAATCATAGACTTGTAGGACTGGAAGGGACCTTGAGAGGTCATCTAGTCCAGTCCCCTGTGTTCATGGCCGGACTAAGTATTATCCAGCAGTTCTCAAGCCACAGCCCAATTAGCACACAGCTGCAACCCAGCTATGTGCGAAAAAAAAAATTCAGTTTGTCGATCTGGTCCGGCATGGGGTGGGGCCGGTTGAGGGATGGCCGGCCCCACGGAGCCTGGCAAGAGCGCTCCTGCCAGCAGGGAAGGCGAAGCAGGCCCCTGTGGCAAGTGAAGAGCTCAGCAGTCCAATGCAGGGGGCCTGGCTGGTGTGGAAGTATAACATTGTATAAGTATAACGTTGTATAAGGGGACATGCTGGATACATTGTATATGAGAGGGCATGCCAAAACATGTTACAAAGTATCTGAGGGAGCACACATAGGGACAGTTAGCTTTTGAATGGAGAAGCAATTAAGATAGAGCCAGCACGTCTAAGAAGCAGGCATCAGAATGGAAGGTGTGAAGGGCAATTAGTTAAGTTAACTGGAAGCTGTTAAAGGAGATTGTTAAGGGTGGCAGGTAATTGAAGATACGTGACTGGTCTCAGGGATCTCGAAGCGTGGTGACTAAAACCTTTTTCTTCTTTTGTCTGTAACTTCTCTGTAACTTGTTCTGCAAAAAACTGTATAAATTAAAAAGACACAAGCCCCACTCGGGGGGCTCACTTCTAAATGTATTAGCAGAGCAGCTTTGCTAATAAAACAGAGTGGTCTGATAAATTGTGAGTCTGAGTCAAACTTTGACACTGGGCAAGTGGGTCCTGAGGGAGAGAGCCCGGCCTGTGATTGCCTGGCAGACAAAGTCATCTCCCAGCAAAACAGTGAATGTAGCAGGGGTGTAGGGAAGTGGGGTGGGTCCGGGGGCAGGGATCTGGCCAGAGAGAGGTAGGGGGTGCTGGGCAGTGGAGAGGTTTGTGGGGGGTTCTGGGCAGCATAGGTGCAGGAACTAGGGGTTTGGGGAGTGCTACAGCACCCCCAGGCTTTACGCAGGGCTCCACTCCTGGCCCCGCTCTGTGCAGGGGTCTCAGGGGGTGGGGGGACTGGACAGGGGAGCGCTGGGCATAGGGAGTCAGTGTGACACAGGCCTGCCCTCAAGGGGAAGGGGCATGCTGGCAGTGCAGGGCTGGGCAGGCCAGTGTGTATCTGGCACAGTGGTTCTCAATCTGCAGACCACAATAGTAAGTAGGTTGAGAACCACTGATCTAGACCATCCTGGACAGGCCCCTGTTTGTCTAGTCTGCTCTTAAAAATCTCCAATGGCAGAGATTCCAAACTCCCTAGGCAACTTGTTCCACCGCTTAACCACCCTGACAGTTAGGAAGTTTTTCCTAATGTCCAACCTAAACCGCCCTTGCCGCAATTTAAGCCCATTGCTTCTTGTCCTATCCTCAGAGGTTAACGAGAACAATTTACCTCCCTCCAATCTTTTACGTACCAAACTGTTATAATGTCCCCACTCAGTCTTCTCTTTTCCAGACTAAAGAAACCCAATTTTTTCAATCTTCCCTCATAGGTCATGTTTTCTAGACCTTTAATCATTTTTGTTGCTCTTCTCTGGACTTTCTCCAATCTGTCCACATCTTTCCTGAAATGTGGCACCCAGAACTGGACACAATACTCCAGCTGAGGCCTAATCAGCACGGAGTAGAGCGGACAAATTACTTCTCATGTCTTGGTTACAACACTCCTGCTAATACGTCCGGAATGATGTCTGCTTTTTTGCAACAGTGTTATACCACTGACTCATATTTAGCTTGTGATGCATTGTGACCCCCAGATCCCTTTCTGCAGTACTCCTTCCTACGCAGTCATTTCCCATTTTGTGTGTGTGCAACTGATTGTTCCTTCCTAAGTGGAGTACTTGGCATTTGTCCTTATTGAATTTCATCCTATTTACTTCAGACCATTTCTCCAGTTTGTCCAGATCATTTTGCATTTTAATCCTATCCTCCAAAGCACTTGCAATCCCTCCCAGCTTGGTATCATCCGCAAAGTTTACTCTGTATACCATTATCTAAATAATTGATGAAGATATTGAATAGAACCGGATCCAGAACTGATCCCTGCTGGACCCCACTCATTATGCCTTTCAGCTTGACTATGAAACACTGATAACTACTCTCTGGGAACGGTTTTCCAACTGGTTTTGCTCCCACCTTATAGTAGCTTCATCTACTTTGTATACGAGAAGGTCATGTTAGACAAAAAATCAGAAGCTTTAGTAAAGTCAAGCTATACCACATCTACCGCTTCCCCACCAGCCACAAGATTTGTTACCCTGTCAACCCTATCAGGTTGGTTTGGCACGATTTGTTCTGGACAAATCCATGCCGACTGTTACTTATAACCTTATTATCTTATAGGTGTTTGGAAATTGATGGCTTAATTATTTGCTCCATTATCTTTCTGGGTACAGAAGTTAAGCTGACTGGTCTGTAATTCCCCAGGTTGTTCTTATTCCCCTTTTTATAGATGGGCACTGTATTTGCCCTTTTCTAGTCCTCTGGAATCTCTCCCGTCTTCCATGACTTCTCAAAGATAATCCCTAATGACTCATATCTCCTCAGTCAGCTCCTTGAATATTCTAGGATGTATTTCATCAGGCCCTGGTGACTTGAAGACATCTACCTTGTCTAAGTAATTTTTAACTTGTTCCTTCCCTATTTTAGCCTCTGATCCTACCTCATTTTCACTGGCATTCACTATGTTTAGACATTCAATAGCCACCAACTTTCTTGGGGAAAACCGAAACAGAGAAGCCATTAAGCACCTATGCCATTTCCACATTTTCTATTATTGTTTCCCCTCCCTCATTGATTAATTGCCGGGTCTTCCTCTTGCTTCTAGTGTATTTGTAGAATGTTTTCTTGTTACCCTTCATGTCTCTAGCTAGTTTAGTCTCATTTTGTGCCTTGGCCTTTCTAATTCTGCCCCTACATACTTGTATTATTTGTTTATATTCATCCGTTGTAATTTAACCTAATTTCCACTTTTTGTGGGACTCTTTTTCGAGTTCCAGAACCCCGCCCAGCACCGTAGGTAGGCTCTACACTGAAGCGCTGCAGCTGCAGCATTTCAAGTCTAGACAAGCCCTCCGATTTTTCAGAGCAGAAGGGACCATTCTGATCATCTAATGTGGCCTCCTGCATAACACAGGCCAAAGAACCTCACCCAATAATCTCTGCATCAGGCGCATAATCTCTGTTCGAGCTAAATTGTCTAAGGCAAAACCTTTTACTGCGCCAACTTCTGTTGGTGAGAGTACTTTTCCCAGACCCGAAGAAGAGCTCTGTGTGGCTCGAAAGCTTGTCTCTGTCACCAGCAGAAGTCAGACCAATAAGAGATATTACCTTACCCACCTAGCCTCTCGAATATCCCGGACAGACATGGCTACAGCTACTATGCATAAGTCAAATGTGTTACAACAACAGATTGGGTCTTCTCTTCCAATCTGATCCTATATAACCGTTCTATGTATCAATTCCCTTCATAACCCGACTATGTAAGATGAGAAGAGACTATTTTTTTTAACCACTTAAATGAAGCCTCTCTGGCTGCTTAAGGAGAGTATTAAAAGGCTCCAAAGAAAGTCCCATCCCGTTCTCCTTAGCCAGACGTGTAATGGCTGCAGAGCGATGGATGAAAGGGAGTGTGCTTGGAGGCTATTAAGATGGGTCAAGAAGGGGAGGGGCATCATCTTCAAGGCCAAAAATTGAGAGACAGAGAAAGCTGTTCCAAGAAGAAGAACCTCTCCAGGTTATGGTGCTTTTGGTGAGCATGGTATCGGATAGATAAATACAATGATAGGTCCCTGCCACGACTAGTTTAGACTCTAGTCTAGACATAACAGCAAAGAAAGACAATAAACGAAGGGTGTGTTTGGGGTTGCATGAGTGGGGGTGGTATTATAGGGTAACATTACATGTGCATTTTGAAAAAATACACTTATGTAATATACGGGTGGTTGTAGGAGTATCTAGAATGATCTGTCATGGTGCAATGCAAATTAAGACATTAAGGTAGTAGCACAGAAAATTAAATTTCAGCTCCACCTTTGCATCAGTTGAGTTTCTTGAATCAAGTTGTAGAGTTTCTCATGATCACATAGGGCAATAAACATGAAAGAAAGGAGATCAGAGAGATACACAGCAAGAGTAAGGAGAGGGCCAAGGACTGTCAGGATACACAGTATTTCATTGTGTGATACTTTAGATACAATGAAACCTATAAACTATTCTCTGGGGTTATTAGTACAATTTGGTTCAACCTTGAATAACTCTCTCGACTCGGGTATTTCTCCTGCAAATGACTCGGTACAGGCTGACTCTTGTAGCCCTAGCTAAGAGATTTTTTCGGATCCCTTTGGCAGTTGTCATAAATCAGATTTCACCCCGTGTAGCATCACCCTTCTATGGGTTAAAACACAGCAAACAGCCCATGGAGAACGTGTGGATGCTGAACACCATCATTTCATTCTTTATTAACATGAAGGCCCCAATGCTGCAAACATGCACACAAGTAGGTTACTTGCACAACCGGTCTCTAATGAAATCCTAATGAAGTCAATGGGGTTAGTCCACGGGAAAGAAATCACTAGGAAAACATCTAAACTGGTGAAACATGCTCCCCCTCCTCTAATACCTCAAAAAAGTCACCAGCGAGAATACAACATTAGAAAGCTGGATGCTAAAGGTAAGGCCTGCCCTCTGGGCTGAGAAATTTCAGCCCAAACAGGGGTGTTGTCTGGGTTAGGGTTAGAGACACTTCCATCCTAGGTACATGACCATCTTGACATTAGTGGGAATATTTCCAAATTGCCCCATTCCAATTAATCAGACATACCAATGTAATCAAACCTGGTTATTTCTATGAGGAGAGTGAGACATGACCTGCCTTCCACTTCATAACCATTCCCTCTCAGACAGACTTACTTTTGCCAGTGGGTGAAGATGTCCTCAAGAGAGGTCAACTGTGGAGGAAACTCCTTCTGTAGGAGAAGAAGAAAGGAAACAATGGGCACTGTGTTTACCTCACGAAAGCACACAGATTATGGAGTTCAAAGTAACGCCATGGGGCATGACAGACATAAACCAGTACGTCTCACCCTGGCCCCTCCAGACTAGCCCAATGTGCTAGTGATAAAGGGTCACCTGCCCATGGACTCAGGGGAGCCCAGCCCCTGGGGCAGCCATGCCCTGGCCCCCACGTGGGGGTGCTGCAGGGTTACACCTGCCCACGCGCTCAGGGGAGCCCAGGAGCAGCCGTCCCCACGTGGGGGTGCTGCGGGGTTACCTGCTCAGGGGAGCCCAGGGGCACCACGTGGGGGTGCTGCAGGGTTACACCTGCCCACGCGCTCAGGGGAGCCCAGGAGCAGCCGTGCCCGGGTCCCCACCTGGGGGTGCTGCAGGGTTACCTGCTCAGGGGAGCCCAGGGGCACCACGTGGGGGTGCTGCGGGGTTACACCTGCCCACGCGCTCAGGGGAGCCCAGGAGCAGCCGTGCCCGGGTCCCCACGTGGGGGTGCTGCAGGGTTACCTGCTCAGGGGAGCCCTGGAGCAGCCGTGCCCGGGTCCCCACGTGGGGGTGCTGCAGGGTTACCTGCTCAGGGGAGCCCAGGAGCAGCCGTGCCCGGGTCCCCACGTGGGGGTGCTGCAGGGTTACCTGGCCGAGCTGCAGCTGCAGCTCCCGCGCTGCCTTGGCGTAGCCAGCGCGCAGCAGATGCTGGTGAATGAGGGCCAGCAGCTCCCTCGGGCCCGTGCTCGGCGCTGCCATGCTGCTCCCGCCCGGCCTCCGCCCTGACTACGGCCGCTGGGGCGACGCCCGGGCGGCCTGGCGGCTCGTGCACCGGGGCTGCAGCGGGGACGCAGGGAGACACATGCCCCCTTAGGCACCTCCCGCTGCCTCTAGTCCCCTTTGACCACGGGCACCACGCGCCGGGCTTCCTCTTCCCCACTCGCGGCCCGGGGCCTGCCGGGAAGTGTAGTCCGCCCGGGTCGCCGCCGCCGCCGCCTCCTCGTGGCTCCGGGCCGCCAGAGGCCCGCGGGCGGCGGCTCTGCCTGGGGGGCGGGGCGGAGCGCGGGGCCCGCCGCGGGGGGGCGGGAGCAGGGTTCAGGGTTAGGCGCAGGGGGGCCCAAGGCAGAAAGCTGAAGCCCCGCTGCGAGGGGCCTGAGCCCCACCACCCGGGGCCGAAGCCTGAGCAATGTAGCCTTGCGGGGCCCCCTGCGTGGGGTGGGGCCCCAGGCCATTGCCCCGCTTGCCGCCCCGAAACGCCGTTGTCGTGGCACAGCTGGGCCATGGGGATTTTCTGGCACCGTGTCGAGGGGGACGAACCCCGGTGTCAGGGGCCAGGTGGTGCCCGTTGTAGTCAGTGGAAGTGACTTCAATGGATCATGCCTTAGATACCTAGAACACCACTGGATGCAGCCACTTCTGGGGTGGAGGGTATCAGACAGGGACATTTGAAAGATTTAAATAGAGACTATAAATAGGGGCATTTATACATCTTCTAAGCCAAAGGACGATCATTAATTGGGAGAGCTTGAGGGAGAGCGTTGACAAATGATAGCTACTTTCCTAAACAATTTTTGAAAAGAAGGTTATTTTCTCCTAAATAGGGACAGATACTCTATACAGAAATTTTGGCCACTGACATGAGTTCAACTCTTTTATGAAAAGTGCCATGGGATAGTTAACAGAGAGCAGGCAGAACCTCCGTTTTAAACAACTCCCCAGCAGGGCTGCCAACTCCACGCAGTATAAAAAACATGAGTCGGGCTCCAAAATAATGAGATTCCCTTAAAATCATAAGATTTTTTAATTATAAAAGTTTGGGAATTCATTTTACTTGCCTTTTGGCTTCTAAGTGTTTGTGGGTCAGATCTGCACACTTTTCTCTGTGAACACGTGGGCTAGAAACACTTTTAAACAAAAATGAAAGCTGGAATTCTGACATAAGCCTGTGACTCCAGGAACTTTAAGATAAACACCAAATTTCATGAGGCCTAAAAACACATGCACAGCCGCATGGAACTCAGTGTAACAACCTCAGAATAGTCCTGATCTGACAGCCACTTTGACTGCTTTAGTGCTGAGTTGGCATTTGGCTGTTTTGGGGAACATGCATTTGGGCTTCCATCATTTTTTCTTAAAAACCAATCCTGGGACACAAAGTAGCAGAGTGAGTGGGACGGGGGTGGACAGCCCAGTAACCACACAAACACACAACAACCCCCCTCCTCCACGGTGCTGATACCTTCCAGGAAAAAGCTGGCTACGTTTATTATGGCAGAGGTGTGGGTTTATTTTTGGAAGGTTTAATAATGTTCAAAGTGCAAATACAGAACCTTTATTTGTATTTATTGAAGAGATTAAATATAACACTGGCTGAGTTCCAGCTGGCTTTGAAGCTAAATCTCCCCAACCATCATCATCATCATCATCTAAGGTAATAACGCCACTGGCCAGGTTGCAGCCTTACAGTTCCAGCAAGACAGACTCTGGCTAGTTGTTTCAGTGAGTGACTCACTGATGGATCACTGGCCAGCAATATGAATATGCCCAGTGCATTTTGGTGAGTGGGTCGGAGCCCCTGACTGAGCTGCTGAGCTGGAGAAATGTAAGTGAGGTAGAATTCAAACAGTCCTTTGTTAGGTTTTAAATGACTCGTAATGCTGTAAATTGCTTGTTTCAGAGTAGCAGCCGTGTTAGTCTGTATTCGCAAAAAGAAAAGGAGGACTTGTGGCACCTTAGAGACTAACCAATTTATTTGAGCATGAGCTTTCGTGACGAAAGCTTATGCTCAAATAAATTGGTTAGTCTCTAAGGTGCCACAAGTCCTCCTTTTCTTTTTGTAAATTGCTTGATTGTCAGAGAGCAAGAGATTGAAGGCCTGATTCTTCTTTCACTTGCTCTGGGGCAAATCAGGAGTGACTTCATGAAAGTCAGTTCAGTGTACAAACAGCCATGAGAATTGGACCCAGAAACCATGGGTGCCAGGTTTGTATAATTTTTGGTGGTGCCCAGAACAGGTCCCAGAGCCATCCCGTCCATGGACAGACTGAGGCAACAGCCCTTGGCCCCGTGCTTTGGGGGCCCCGCGCTTCAGGGGGACTTGGGATCCAGGCAGAGCCATCCCGTCCATAGGATGGACTGGGACAACCGCCCTGGGCCCCATGCTTTGGGGGGGCCCACAATTCCAGGGGACACAGGGTTCAGGGCAGCCTGGGAGATTCGGAGGGCCTGGCAACGGCAGCAGTGAGTGACCCGGCCCCAGTCCGCCCCTGCTCCGCCATCTCCCCTCCCCCATTCCACCCCTTCCCCCAACCGCCCACCCCGCCTCTTTCCAGCTTCCACCCCCTCCCCCGAGCAATGTCGGGAGCCGATGGAGCGGGGCGGGCTGGGGCTGGGGCTGGGTCACTTGCTGATGCCGGCGCCAGGCCCCCTGCTGACCCCCCAGGCCACCCTGGACCCCGCATCCCCCTGAACCGCGGGGCCCCGCAAAGCGCGGTAAGCCGAAACGTTGGAGCTGGGCCCATGTTTCGAAGTATTGGTGGAGCACAGGCACCACGGGCCCATATAACTCGCTGCCTATGCCAGGGACTTACATGGGACACTCTGTCTTGTAGATATAATTAGACACAGATGTTGACCTACTTTGACATGGTCCCATCTGGAAGGTTGTTTTACCTCCAGGAGTCTTTCCATTTGCTTTGCTTTGGTGCACCACAAAGCTAACATTGCAACTGCTGGGAAATTGTTCTTAGAAAATTGAGTGGGGCTGAGCATAAATTACACAGTACAATACAGTGCCCCTATCTCTGACAAGAAATTGCACTAGGAGCTTCTCTTGAGCTGTCGAGTGCTCTGTCCGCTGGCACCCCCTTCAAAGAGTTTCTGTTTGTTGCAAAGATTCATTTAAAAACAGAACCCAAAGGCAGAGCTTGCCCCACTAGTCCAGAGGTTAATGATCTGTCTGTCAAACAGGAGACTATATTCCTTAGCATTTTCCATCTGCAAAACTCTTTACAGTCATTCTCATCGCTCCTCTGGGAGGTACGTCAGTAAAGTATTGAGTTAGTGACTAGCCTTAGGTCATGGAGAGAGCTAGGCCTAGAGGTTTAAAAAACTCATGAACAGGATTTCAAGTGCTCAGCACCTGGAGATGGCCAGATTTTCGCTTCCATTTTGGTGCCTAGCAATATTTTTCCAAAGCACCGCAAAGATTTAGGCGCATAAGTGCCATTTGGGGATTGGTCCTGCTTTGAGCAGGGGGTTGGACTAGATGACTTCCTGAGGTCCCTTCCAACCCTGATATTCTATGATTCTATGATTCATTCAAAGTTAATGGGAGTTGTGCTCCTAAATCCCATAAGTGCTTTTGAAAATCTGCCCCCTTGTGGCTAGAGCTGTGATTCACATGCTGGAATCACAACTTCAACCCTGAGAAAAACCACTCATTTCTCAAGGCCTGGATTTGACTTGTGCTCTCTCTCTCTCTCGCTCAGTTTAACATGATTGAGAAGTCCCATGCAGGCTAAAGCTGTGTTAGATGGCCATGTTGTAGCTTAGGCTGCCCCTAGCCTGAATAGTAATGGAGCTTTTCAAGCAGGTTAACTTGCTTGAGCTAGGGTGACTGCAAAACATCCCCCTTTTGGCCCTTTGGGTCAGCCTGGGTAGGAGGGCTGCTGTCCCCTTCAGTTGTATGAGGAATGAGGTTGAAGGGCTCCAAAGAGAAGGCTAATTCCTGCTGGCCTTACTCACACGAGCCGCCCCACTGACTGCAGTGACACTGTTTGCAGGAGTAAGCAGGATTTGGCTCCTTCGCCTCAGCCAGAAGAAAAGTGGCTGAAATACAGTAAGTCCTAATAGCAGCAAAATGGAAAGTGGGGGGAATTAGGTGGCCTGGAGGCTGAGGGACAGATGGAAAGATGGCCATAAAGACACCCAGAAGGGACTGCTGGCAAGGCAGGACAAACACTGTGCACTGAGTGCATCCCTATAAAATGTTGAGTGCATCCCTATAAAACTGGTTTTAAAATGAGAACTAACTGCCCACGACTCATGCCAAGTGAGAGACACTTTGCAGGTCTGCTGTGGTTCAGGGTCACTTGAGTCCAAAGCCTCACACGCTTGAATCATGAATAGCCCTTCAAAAATGGCTGTGCAAAGGCATGTTACAGCAATGCAGCCCCATTTAAACAAATGCATCTGAAGAATTTTGTTGTTGCCCAACAATTAGAGGCAGGGAAGGTATTTGAGACATTTAGTAAACATGGCAAATAATAAATAGGGCAATTCAGCAAAGCAAACAGCTGCACAATTATAAATAGGAAAATCTGCCTCAACCCAAACCCCAGTGAGGGGAAAAAACCCATCAACAACGTGCAGTTATTAGAAGGTGAATTTTTTCTTGCATTTCTTGCCAGGAGTTGAAACTAGTTTGCCCACTCTTTATTTTTAGGAGGGTAAAGTGTCCCCTGTGGATTAAGAAAGCTAGCCTTTTAGGTATGTGATTTCCATGCCACGACAGTGACTCATGAAGGGATTGCAGGAAGCTGTTTAAAATCCAGACAGGGGATAAAGCCGTAGTAGTTTAGTAGCCAGCTCGGTACGCTAATGTCCAAACATCCCTGTTCATGTCCACAGCTCTGCAACCTGAGTGCTTTGCTCATTGTGTTAAATTTCCCCACACCTACTCCATTATGAATGACTCCACTTGTGTCCAGCCCAAGGTGGTACTCACCAGAACAAGCAGGGTTCAGGAGAACATTAGCAGACTGGAAAGCTCTTTTGCACAATATGAAAACTGGCATTCCTCAGTGGACCTCATGGCCTACTGGGACACTTTCCTTCCATCCTTTACATGGACACTGAGTGAGGGTCGTTTGGGTTTTTTATTTGTCCTGGTGCAGATTTCTAATATTAGCAATTTACGGCAGTGAGACATGTATCTTAT